TTTCATATAATAAGGGCTTGGTGATGATGAACTCCTTGAATTTGATCTTATCTGAGAAGTACTTTATCTGCCCTTCCATTCTAAATGAAAGCTTTCCTGGGTACAGCAATCTTGGATGTAGGTCTTTGGTTTTCATGACTTGGAATACTTCTTTCCAGCCCCTTCTTGCCTGTAAGGTCTCTTTTGAGAAATCCGCTGACAGTCTGATGGGAACTCCTTTGTAGGTGACTGTCTCCTTATCTTTTGCTGCTTCTAGAATTCTCTCTTTCATTTTAATCTTGGCTAATGTAATTATAATGTGCCTTGCTGTGCTGCTTCTTGGGTCCAACTTCTTTGGGACTCTCTGAGCTTCCTGGATTTCCTGGAAGTCTATTTCCTTTGACAGATTGGGGAAATTCTCCTTTATTATTTGTTCAAATAAGTTTTCCACTCATGGCTGTTCCTCTTCCCCTTCTGGCACCCATATAATTCTGATGTTGGAACATTTAAAGATGTCCTGGAGGTTCCTAAGCCTCTCCTCATTTTTTTGAATTCTTGTTTCTTCATCCTTTTCTGTTTGGTCATTTTTTTTCCTCTTTCTAGTCCACTCCTTTGATTTGAGTCCCAGTTTCCTTTCCATTACTATTGGTTTCCTGTGCATTTCCATTCATTTCAATTAGTTTAGCCTTCATATGTTCCTCTAATTTGTGACTAAAATCAACCAGTTTTGTGAGCATCCTGATCACAAGAGTTTTGAACTGTGCATCTGAAAGTTTGGCTATTTCTTCATCGCTTAGATTTATAGGCTCTGGGGCTCTAAGTTCTTCTTGAGCCATGTTTTGATCTGTTCATGCCTGTTAGGTATGAGGAGTGGAGCCTTAGTTGTTCACCAGGGTGGGGCCACCCAGGTCGCTGGTTTGTGACGCTGTATGTGGGGGCGGGGTCAGGGAGGACAGTGGCGGTCCCCTCTACCTCTTCCTGCCACTGGGGCCTGCACGGTCTGTCTCACCACTCCCTCCTTCACCGGTTTATCTGCTTGCAAATGTGTGACGGTGGTCAGCCTTTAGTGAGTCCGCCATCCCGCGCCTTCAGTGAGTCCACCGCCTTGCGCCCTCAGTGAGTCCGCCTGCTTCTCCACACCTGGGATCCGCCTATGGCTGCCAACATACCTGGGTTGTGCGCCCTGGTCGGTCCGGTGGATCTTTCCTGCCCAACCCCACTCTGCTTCTGGCTCTGCCCCTCTTACCAGTTTGGCTGAAGAATTCATTGTTGTCAGACTTCCGTGAAGTTCAATTTTCTGTGGTTTTGGCTGTATTTTTATTGCTAAAACTTTGTTGTTTTTAAACTTGGTTGTGGGAGGAGGCACAGTGCTTCCACCTATGCCTCCATCTTGGCGGAAGTCCTCCAGTTGTGCTTTTTTGAAAACTCCAATCTTTGACTCAAAACTCTCTCCCCTTTGCCTCAATGCAGGGGGTGGTCGGGGGGTGGGGCTGGCTCAGGTCCCTCAGCACCCTCCCCTGCACCTTCTTCTCTGGTATTGGATAGAGGAGGAAAGACCAGGACAAACACTTCTCCACAGGAAGTCTCCCATCAGTGGACCATTCCTGCTGAGCCAGATTGCAGTGTTGAGTAAAGACTCTGGCCCTTGGCCCTCGAGAGTTTTCTTGTAGACCTTTGAGAGACCTGACTGCATTGCTGAGCTGACTGCCAGCATCCTCTCAGGCAAACACTTCCCTGCGCCATGTTCCAGTAGCTCTCAGCCATCCCACACCCCCACAGTCCTACCTACCCCAGGCCTGCCGACATGGGTGGGATTCAGCTCTGCTTGGTTCTGTTGAAAGGTATCTCAGGGTCTATAGGGGAGAGGGCTATTTCTCTGGCTTTAGAATGGGGGGAACTTGAGATGCTTATTCTCAACTGTGGTCCCTGATCATTTATTCTGGGGAATCCCTTGGCTCCTCACACCACATGCCAGGACCACAGTGAGGCTCCTTTTGCACTTCATCTTAGCCAAAAGGCTGAGAAGCAATGTGATGCTCCTTTTGAAGTAAGGTGTCCTGTATCCCATTTGGCTTTTCGTTGATGACTTGGGAGCATCATGACTAATATCAACAGAGGAAGGCTCTGTAACATGGAAAGCATCTGCCCTCCTACTCACCTGGCTGACCTTGGGCAAGTCATTTGACCCCAGTTTCAGCTCTGCTGTGGTTGAAAGAAGTGTGGTGGTGCAGGTGAGCTGAGGGCAGAGATGAGAAATCCCTTGTGGACTGCTTGGTGCACTGAACACAATCGGAACATCTGATGGAAAATCAGATTCACTCAGTCTGTAAGAACAGAACTGCAATATATTTATCACTCCCCGGTGTTCTGAAAAGTGACTCATAGTTTCACTTTCTGACGTAATTTCTTTGAACTTGAAATCTAAGCTATGGTTTTTCATGGAAGTTACACTATATATGGTTGGTTGCCTCTTTTTCAATTTTATCAAACTAATTGTAAATAGTTAAAAATATCAAGTAATCCAGAAGGTTTTCAGTGGAAAGTTACATCAGCCCCCCATGTCCTTCCTTCCATCCAGTCATGCTCCTCAGATGCACCGGCTTTTAACTCTCATGTCCCAGTATTTACTTCCATTGCTCTAAAGAAGGTGTTTATATTGCTTTGTGGAGAAGTCCTTCAAGAGTAAGACAAAAAGACAAAGAGATATAAAATAGGAGAGGAACATTAGATAGACACACATTTGAATGAGAAAACAAAGGAGAAATGATGGTAAGGAATTCTATTTATCAATCTGTCTATCTGGTTCACCAGAGCTAAGAAGGTAAAAGTCCAAGAAGAATTTTTTAACTAGGAATTAAAAGGACATTTTTTAAATGGTCAGATTCCAATTTAGGTTTATTGAACAAAGAGGCCACCCTCTGCTATGTGGTGGCACTTAAGTCCAGTGCCCTTTGACCTCATGGGTCTCTACAAACCCCACTTTCATAAGCCCCATTTAAAGCCAAGCTTCTCATCTCCATGGTTCCCTTTTCCCTTTGTTCTTCTGCCTCCCATTACTTTTTTGTGTGTGCATCCTGAAAGGGTGACATACAACAAAACCTCTGCCTACCACCTGCCTGGGGGATGAGATATCCCTCATCCCTGGTCACTGGCGCTTTGCTCTCTTTTGAGCATATCTTTGCTCAAAATATGCTAAGTAAATCCTCAGCATATTTTCCAACATGGGCAAATGACAAAAACAATGTTGAGCAAAAAGGCAGTTGCAGAATGATGAGAACAGAGCAGTGCTGGTTATACATGATTGGTTCTGTCCCACATAACTTGATTAATAGACAAAGAGCAGTATATTTGATTAAGCCAAACCTTCACTAAGGAAACAAAATTTGGAACTGAAAATCCAAATTGTGGGACTTCCGCCAAGATGGAGGCATAGGTGAAAACACTTTGCTTCCTTGCACAACCAAATATAAAAACAATAAAGTTTTAACAACAATATACGCAACCAAACCACAGAAAATCAAACAATACGGAGTCCAAAAACAACAAATTGTAATATAATTACTTAATACATAAAGACACTGTGCCAGTAATGCACACTTTTAAATAGTCAGGTTAGGAGGTCTTTGTAGTAATAATGGCCTTAGCAGCAGCCTGACTTTGCCCCTGTTCCTCTGCCACCCACCTGGGCTCCTGTTGACATTGTTAATATTACTCAAAAGCATGAATCAGAAATGGCACTGCAGCAACACACATGAGCCAAATGGTGACACAGGAAGCAGATTCTCACATAACCGGGAAATTCCAGGATCTCTCCCAGGCCTCAAGGGCTGTTTTTACTTTAATATCCAAGGATATTCACAGAATACCCACTCCATGAGTGAGGGGGACTCAGACCCTCCCCAGGTCTCCCTGAATTCCTACAGCCTGCTCCCCAACATCACTTGGAGCCTGGAAGCTGCTCTTCTCTCTGCTTGTCCCTGTGTCACCCCTGGCTTGGAAAAATTACTGCATGCATGTCATTTTTCTACAGGTTCTCTTCATATAAGCTGTTGTTGTGCCATTTAATTGAAGATTTGATGGGAACAGAAGATGACAACAGTTTAAGAGTGAATATTAGACATAACTGTCCTACAAAGGCACTGGTCATTTTTCACTGCAGAATCTTTCTAATGATGCTCCGACTTTGCGCTATCGTCTTTGTTTTGATCTCCCCCCAACCTTATTTACATGTAATTGACATATCGCACTGTGACAAATCACACTGTGGGTTTGATACAGTTCTGTATTGTACAATGATTACCAGCGTTGCTTTAGCTAACACCCCCATCACATCACATAATTACAATTTCTTTTTTGTGGGGAGAACATTTAACATTTACTCTCTTCTTGATCTTGCCCTCTGCTACTACTCTCTCCCCAGACTTTCCTGCTCTCTAGTCAGCCCACCCTCGGCCCCCAGATTCCTGTTATGTTCTCATGCAGACTAACTCAGTGTGCTTTGCATCTTCACCTTCCCCCTTCAGACTGACCATGCCTCACTCAAAAACACTCACCAAGGTATTTTTCTAGCCCTCATCTCAAAAAAACCTCTCGAAATTCTGTCTCTGCATTATGAATTAAGCCTATATTGCCTTTTTAATATAAAAGTGACTGCAATCAGTTTTGCTTTAAAGGGCATTGCCACTTCTACTGTGTGTTTGACAATATAAGAAAGAACAGTGATTACCTCTGTCATTCCTAAAGTACCTAGTCCGTCCATAGCTTACCCTCACAAATCCTCTGTGAAGTAATAGGTGGTGTCACTCCCATATTGTCGACAAGACACCGAGGCTCAGAGTAGGTTAAGTGGTTTGCCTGCCGCCTCCCAGCTGCTGACTGACATGGTTTGACAGCCAACCAGTGCTGGTTGGGCTGCCCGAGCCCAAGCAGATGTGTCCTCACACAACACGGAAGGTAACCCGCCCCTGCCACCCAGGATGCCTTTCACTCACGCCTCATTCCTCTATCTCCATTCTCCTCAGGAATCCACTGCAATGGATTGGTGGAAAGACAATTTCTGGATCATCTTAGCTGTGGCCATCATCATAGTCTCTTTGGTCCTGGGTCTCATCATGTGCTGTGTCTGTAGGTGGCTGTTCAGACGAGGTAATAGCCATCTCACCTAGGCAGGTGGAGGGCTGGTTATCAGTGCATTAGGGCTCCTCTTCAGCAAGAAGATTAGTTCTGGGCCTGTATGGGCTGAACTTTGGATTAAGCACCATGCTTTCTGGGTTTCAGTTCGAGGCCTGCCACTACCTTGTATCCCTGAGTCTCAGTTTCCCCAGCCGCATAGTGAAGGGAGGGAGGTTAACTGATGTCCAAGAGCTCTTCCAGCCCAAAGGGCTTGGGTGAAAGCAGAGCCTCTTTCAAGGCACACTGAGCTCCAGTGCTTTCTCTCTTTATTGTGACTGCTGATCACAGCATCTTATGTCTGACACTTGGAATAGAGCACAAGTCTGTGTAATGTCAAAAGCTGTCTTAATTCCAAACCCATCAAGCTGTATACATTAAATGTGTACAGCTTTTTTCTATGCCAGTCATACCTCAATAAGTAGCTTTTAAAAATGTCCTGAGGCATGAAGAATAGACTCAATCTACAATCAACCTGTTTGTCTATCATGCTCACCTCCTCTAAGATCATACTCTGAATTCTGGTATTACTCACCTTGGCCAGAGCTTCTTGACAGCCTCAGACATAAATTAGCAGCTACCTGGAGATTAACACTAGCTTTGGATTATCTACAAGAGGGTTTTCCATTTTGATATTCCTCTCCAGAGACATGCAATTCATGATTCCATAGTGTTTTCTTGAGATCTTATCCCTTTTCATAATGACCTAAACCTGGAGTACCCCTGGGAGTGGTAAATACATGGAGAGGTACAGCCATGTCCCCTGGGCCACGCTGGGTGCCATCTCGCCATGATCAAGGCACTGTCCTCCTGCTGCATCTGGACACAGCCTCAAATCCGGCTAAGCCAGTGCTGGAGTGTCAGGGCTGCACAAGAAGTGAAGTCTTACTGTCATTCCTCTCGATCTCTTCTTAGAGATAAGAAAATTAAGATGCAGCAGGAGGTGAAGCCTTGGTTGGGATCTTGTAGGGGCTGGTGGCAGGGTTGGGAACAGAACCCAGGTCCATGGAGCTCCCTGTTTAATATTATTTCCTCTCCACCCCTTGATAGTAATCAGTTTTCTAATACAAAATGTGTATTTTGGCCCTTATCCATTTGCCTTCTTAGAATGTCCCATTCTAAGAAAAACATAACCCTGAACAAAAATGTTACTTATTCTTTTATCTTGACCCACTCTTATTAATAAGCTATTTATAATTAATAAGTTATATGCCCAGTACGTCATAATTTACAAACCGCTTTTCCTAACCTCATCTCCTCCCAAGCACACTTTTGCTTATTCGTCTGTGCCCCGAGTACTGGCAATGAGGAGATAAGCACAGCCCACAGGCCCCTGCCTCACTGGGTTCGCAAAAGGCCCAGGCAGCCTGGGTTCATTTCCAGCTCTGCCAACATTTTGCTCTGCGTCCCTAAATCTGCTTCTTCTTTGTGGTTCTGAAAGTCCTGAACTCACATGGTTTCTGAGGATTTTTAAACTCTAAAATCACAGGTTTTGTTAATTCTTCCTAAGTCAATATGTTTATTTGTTTCCTTAGGCAAGAAATTGAGAATTGCTAAGCCCTTGAAACAGAAACCAAAAGATGAAGAAATTATGTATGAGTAAGTCGGGGAAATCCTTCTGCTTTTTAAGTTTGAGAACTGCCGGTTCACTTCCACTCTTGGGCCTCCGCTGCTGTGCGAGCATGTTACACGCCCGCTTTTCCTTGGCAGCCAGTGACATGTCATGTCTGTCAACTCTCCCCACTTCAAGGGGAGAGGTCTCAGGGCTGTGGGGGTGCAGGGTGCCATCTGCCTCTGTCTGCTCTCTAAGTGTCCCTCACATGGTCTTACTTTGATAGAGGTCGCAGGTCGGGCTCTGTGTTCTGGGTCCACCACTCAGGGTGAGCCTGGCCCTTCTTTTCTTCAAATGGGTTAAAAGTGTAGTCCTCTAAAAGCTATTGTGCTGAACAAAGATAATACATCTGCTTTACTTTTGCATTTTGTGATTGTTAGGTCGGAGTCGCTCAAGAAACCAGACGGACACAGCGAGCTAAGGAGAGCAGGGTTTATTAGCTGGGAATAAGAGGGAAAGTGGAGCCAACCGAGGGAGGCTGGGACTCGCTTGATTGTTCTTAGGTGAGGGTTTTTCAACACAAAAGTCTGCGAAGGGTATCAGAGTTGGATTGGCTAGAGCTGGTTGCTGGGTGCGGGCTCAAGTTAAAGCTGCATCCTGTTATGCCGATAGGCCAACCCCAGACCCCAGTCTTCATGTTTTTCCTGGGAAGGGTCTGCAGGCAGCTTCCCACGGTGCCAGTTTCCAGCCTGGTGATTTCCCATCCCTCCTAGGCCTGCCTAAGTCTGTCAGTGATACCTTCGGGGCTTTATGAGTGCTATCTGTGTTGGGGGTTCCCAAGCCCACCCTTAGGCTTGATGATTCACTAGGAGGACTCGCAGGACCCAGAAACATTGTTATATTTATGGTTATGGGCCATTACAGTGCAAGGACACAGACGAAGTTCAGCAAAGGAAAAAGGCCTATAGTGTGGAGTCCAGGAGAAGCCAGGGGCAAGCTCCTGGGTGTCTCCTCCCAGTGAAATCACACAGACTGCACTTTCTTCTCGCAGCATGAACCATGACAACCTGTGCCCACCCGAGAAGCTCACCTGTGCCTTGATTGCTGGGGTTTTTACTGGGGATCCGTCACAGAGGCAGGGAGTGCCCGCATGACCACTTTAGCTACTCAGTCTCCAGCCCCTCCAGAAGCCAAACAGATACAGCATGACCTACAGCCCTAGGCAAACACAAGCAGGCATTCAACATCAGTCACGTTATTAGCATAAACTATCAGGCTGGCCCAAGGCCCTGAGTACACAAAGTCACTCTTATCAAGCAGCATATTCCAGGAGCTTAGAAGTTATTTCCCAGGAAATAACTTACATTGGAATGTACACACCATCGGAAACAAAATCTATACTTTTTTCCTTTTTTTAAAATATTTTATTTATTTATTTTTTGAGAGAGGGGAAGGGAAGGAGAAAGAGTGGGAGAGAAACATCAATGTATGGTTGCCTCTCATGCATTCCCTGCTGGGAACTGGCCTGCAATCCAGGCATGTGCCCTGACTGGGAATCCAACCTCCATACTCTGGTTCGCAGGCCCACGCTCAGTCCGCTGAGCTATGCCAGCCAGGGCAAAATCTATACTTTTCTAAAATGAATTTTGTTGGGGCTCAAGGGCTCCAGCAAATATTAAGCCTCTTCCCCACCAGTTCTGATCCAATGAGGAGTATAACAAACCTGTCATGCAGTTAGGTAACCAAAATATCTCCTTTATTGAGAACAAAACCAATATTGCGGAATGTGGCACCTCTCTGAGGGCAAGTACGTTTCCTAGTTCAAGACCAGGCAAGCTTTCCTGCGCAATGCACAGGCGGCTCTGGAGAACCTCAGGTCTCCACCGCAGGGCAGCCCTTTCTCTGAGTGGCAAAGACCAGAGAAGAATATATGCTTTCTGCATTCAGGCCTGCTCTGGAGGAGAAAGGGGGAGGAGCTGGACTCGCCCAAATGTAAGAGTCAGATAAATTTCCCTCCTCTCCCAGGAAGAGCCACAGGCAGGTGAGGAAAAGGCTACTGATGGAGCTTTGCCACATGTCCCCTTCTCCACTCATGCCCACAACCTAAAAATGCTAATGCATTCCCAGGGGGATTAACCAGGTAAGTGAGACCACATCTCAGAAGAATCTAGTACCAGTTTGAAAATCAGAGTGCACAGAGGGCAATCGGGGTCTAGGTAAGGAGGCTTGCTTGGAGTCTATCTTTTTGTTGAAACTTCTTAGCAAAAAAAAAAAAAAAAAAAGAATACAGAAAAATGCACATGATGAGAGTACAAGTCAATGAACTTCTGCAAACTACATAGACCTAGGTAGGTGGCACCCAGATCAAAAACCAAAATTATCAGCACCTCAATATCTTATATTCCCTTTCAGTCATTCCACCCCAAGGATTTTCTTGTTTTTGTGCTTTGTATAAATGGAGTTATACAGTTTGTATTATTTGGTGTTCTTGCTCAGCATTTTTGTGAGATTCACTTGCATGGTTGTAGATTGTTCATTCTCACTGCTATAGAGTATTGCACTACAGGGAACTTATCCATTCCACCGCTGATGGGCATTTGGATAGTGTCCAGTTTCAAGATGTTATGATTAGTGTTGCTATGACCATTCTAGGACGTCTTTTGGTAAGCATATGCAAACATTTTGGTAGGGTGTATATCTAGTAGTGGAATTGCCCTCACATGGTGTGTGTACAGTTAGCTTTAGGAGGACATTAGTGTTGCAAGTCAAAATACAGCTGGTGCTTACCTCCCCATCTTCACCAGCTCAGGAGAGCACAGGACGGGGAGGGGATGCTCCATACTTAGTTACAGCGCCTCAACTCCCTTCCCTCAAGTCCAGATGCTCTCAGCTAGTGCAAGTGCTTTAGAGTGCCAGTTACAAATGGGGTGCAATCCCTAGAAAGGGAAGGTAATGATTCCAGGTTATAGTGACCAAGTTTTGACTGTTCAACCCTACCCACTTTCTTTGATGCTTTCCTTAAAATCCACTGACAGGGAGCATGGTCAAAAGCAAACACCAACTCCTCTTTCTTTCTCTCCAGGAATGTTCTCGATCAATCATCAGCTCAATTACCCCCTTTGCCACCCAGGGATTTTCTTCCTGAACAAGATGCCTGTAAGTATATTTTGCTAATAAGCCTCGTTCAGAGTAGGATAACAAATTTACCCAGGTGTCTTAGTTGACTCAGGCTGTCCATAACAAAATATTATAGACAGGGTAGCTTGAACAACAGAAATTTATTTTCTCGCAATTCTGGAGGCTAGAAATCCAAGATCACAGTGCCAGCTGATTTGGTTTCTGGTGAGGACTGTCTTCCTGACTTGAAGATGGCTGCCTTCTTGCTGTGTGCTCACACAGTGGGTAGAGCTCGCTGGTGTCTCTTTTTATAAGGGCACTAATCCTAGTGGACCAGGGCTGTAGCCTTATGGCCTTATTTAATATCATGTACTTTCTTAGAGGCTCCGTCTCTAAATACAGGCACACTGGGAGTTAGGGCTTCAACATTTTGTGAGCACAAACATTCAGTCTGTAACACAAGGATCTGCAGATGGCAGCAATTTGATTAAATGAGTTTAAAAGGATTAGAAAAAGTATCAATGTTCCCAATGTTCACTTTACAAATTCATATTCAAATTCTGGCTTGGGATATGAGTAAAAAGAAATTTTAGGTTGTCGCTGGGCCTCTTACACTTCTTTTTTTATTTTTAAAATTTTTTATTTAGTTATTTTTCAAGTACACTTTTTGTCTATTTCTCCCATCCCAGCACCCCAGCCCTGTCTCCCCCCTCTCTTCCATTCCCCCCCCCCCCCCAGTCCTCATCCCTGTGTCTTTCATACTTGTTCCTCAAAATCCCTCCCCATTTTTCCCCTTAAATTCCCTTCTCTCTCCCCTCCGGTCGCTGCCCACTTGTTCTCTATTTCAGTGTCTTTGTTTTTATTCTGTTTGCTTGTTTGTTTTATTGTTTAGCTTCCTGTCAAAGGTGAGATCATATGGTATTTGTCCTTCAATGCCTGGCCTATTTCACTCAGCATAATGCTTTCCAGTTCCATCCATGTTGTTGCAAAGGGTAGTAGCTCCTTCTTTCTCTCTGCTGCATAGAATTCCATTGTGTATATGTACCACTTTTTTTATTTTTTATTATTTCTCTTTTATTGATTCTAGAGGCAGAGGAAGGGAGGGAGAAAGAGAGGAAGAGAAACATCAATGCGAGAGAGAAATATTAATCAGTTGCCTCCTGCATGTACCCTGACTGGGGACTGAACCCCGCAACCCAGGCATGTGACCGGGAATTGAACCTGTGACTTATTAGTTTGCAGGATGACGCCCAGCCAACTGAGCCACACTGGCCAGGGCCAGGGCCTCTCACATTTGTATCTGCCTGGTTCCCTTGACTGGAATGTTGTTCCTTAAGCTCTTCACACAGCTGGCTCTACCTCCTCCTCCAAGTGTTGGTTCACATGTCATCACCCCAAAGAGCCCTTCCCTAACCACTCTATCTAGAGCAATCCCACTAGTTTTCTTTCGGAAACATAGGAATTACCAAAATTGTCTTATCTAGTTATTGTTCATTTGTTTATCAACCTCTTCCATGAAAATATAAACTCTAGGAAATAGGAACCTTTCTTATCTTGTTCACCACTGCTTACCCACCACAGGAGATTAGCAGATAATTAATAAAGATGTTTTGACTTGAGTGGATAAGTAGTGATATTAGCTAACATTTATTGAGCACGCACTGTGTTTGGGCCCTGTACTAGACACTTTACAGGCATTAGCTTATAATCTTCTCAACAACTCTATGAAGCAAGTACATTATTATTACCGTTCAACAGGTGTGGACCCTTAGGCACTGAGAAATTAAGTGACTTACCCATTGTCACACAGCGAGTGACTGCTGGAGCCTGAACATGAACTCAGATCTGTCTAACTGCTTAGCTCTACAGCTAAGCTAAAATGGAATGGTGGTCGTTGTTTGGGTTATCTTAGGAAAAGATGACAGTGTGATATAGGCAGTTCCCATCCCCACGAAAAGTGGTGCTGAGCTGTTTTGTCACCCTTCCCCTAGCCACTTCGGTCCTTTTGCTATGTGCCCATACTCCACTAATTCCACCACTTGAAAATACCACCGTCCCCTTCTTCTTGAGAAGAGAGATTCATGCGTGAGTAATTAGTGATAGTTCTGGAAAACTATGTAAGTCATTGTGAGGCATGTGTCAAAACGGAAATATGGTTTGTGTCACTTCCTTATGAGAATTAGGATCTTTAGACACAACACTACTCACTTGGCTACTAGCTCTGTTCTGTTTCTGGTCAAAGTTTCTGTTTCATGGTCCCCGCTGCAGTGCAGTCTTAGGCAGAGGGATGTGGTAGCCAAGGTGGTTGACCAATATGTGCCATTTACTCACTGGAGTGATCCTGAGACTGTGTCATGTCTGTGCTTTAGCTCATTTTGTAAAATGAGCATCTGGTCCACCAAGAAAAAGATCACTGAAATCCATGCTAAGCCACATAGTCAAAAATATATACATGCATGAGAGCTTTGCATCTAAAAATCTTTTTGTATATTCTAGCCCCACAGGAAACTGAAAGTGTGCCGCCAGCAACATACTCATTGGTAAATAAAGTTAGAAATAAGGAGACAGTTTCCATCCCGAGCTACATCGAGCCTGAATGTGACTATGATGACGTAGAAATCCCTGCAGATATGGAAAACCATCATTTTAAAACAACCATTTCTTCTTTTTGGCAAGCTGAAGAGGGTTCACATTGCTTATTTTAAAACCATCAGGAATGGCTGAACTTTCACGTGTCCAGTCCCGAAAGCAGTGGTAATGTTATGGGGCCATATAAGATAAGCACTTCTGAACCTTAGATAAAGAAGCTTTAGTGATCACATGATGGCAGCCAGAGAAAGATGCAACCTCCCAGCCCTGAAGACCAGGAGGGGTCAGGCCTTGAATTTCTGCTGAGCAAGTTTCCTCGGGAAGGACCGCTGAGCTTCAAGGCTCCTGCCCAGAGAAAGCACCCTGTTCTCGGCACTCTTCCCTCTTTTCTTCTCTTCTTTGTTTTAAGAGAGCTTAAAGCTTGGTGTTTGATTGTGCAGAGGCTTCTGGGCTCCCATCCCCAGCACCATGGCTGGGAGCACAAGGTCTTGTCCCCAGCAGCCCTGCCCACCTCCTGTGTAGTGTCTTCAGGTGGCAGTAGCAGCTGAGCACTCTTGTGTGCAAATCACCCCGTCAGCCTTGTGAGTTCTTCAAGGGTGGGGAGTGCTTTCTTTTCTTGTGAACCCTTCCCACCTACACACACTTCACGCCCCAGTGCCTGTCTGTGACTTTGGTCAGGCTGACCATAGAGTTCAAGGTCCCACCCAGGTTTTTTTCTGTGCTTCCCAGTTGCACCAAAACAACCGACAGAGGACAGATGTTATACATATAAGTGTCATTTTGCAATATGTGTGTTGGGCTACAGGAAAAGTAGGTTTTCCCAGGAAAAATCATGGGAGACAGGAAGAAAGAGGTGATTAAATGGCAGATTCAAGATGAGAGTTCAGGGACTTAAGGACTTCCTGCATAATTTTCATTACTGCTTCCTCCCTATATAAAGCCAAGGCCCTTCCCTCCAGATCCCTGTCCTGGAGCATCTGGGAGGCAGAATCTCCCGTATGAAGTGCTGCAGCTAATGAGATGCCAGGGGAGTGGGCTGCTGTCCTGCTAAACAAGTGCCCTAGTGTGGTCACTGAGCCTTAAGTCAACTTTTGTAGCCTCTTGAACCTCATCAGTTCTTTTGAGTTGATCCACTAGAACTCCAAGACTTGACACTTTCTAACCAGACTCACAAGATGTGGATTTCTCAGCAATCCCTGTAAAGGCAGCTGATGACCAGGGAGAGCACATAAGCTGTAAAAAGGCTTGGAATGACTGCGGGGCTGAGCTCTTCTTCAAGAGATGTCAAGCTTCCTCCCCCCACCAATGCTGGACCAGTGGGGATACATCTTTCTCCCAGGTTGTCTCTTTCTAGACTCCTTAGAGACCTCCAACTTCCTGTTAATACCTCCTTATTGTAGGCCAGTGGTTCTCTCATAGAACTCTGACATTCAACATACCAAAGAGGGGACCCTTTTCCAAAATTATAGAAAATAAGTTAACAAATGTACATGTTTTACACGTACACTTTCCTCTTGTAAATTTCCTGTAAGCTGTCCACATCTGTGACAAAAGTGAAAAGCAAATGCCTCTCGGCATCAGCATGCTGCAATCACTCGTCTATCTGTCCTTCTCCTCCACTGGACTGAGGGCAGCATGGGGACAGAGGCTACATCTCTCTCTGCTCCACTGTTCTCTCTCTTCTAATTCAGTGCCCAGGCACTCTGTAGACCGCCAGTAAAAATATTGACTAAATGATCAGTTGAATGAATGAATGAATGAATTCCTTTGGGACCTCACTACTCCTTTTCTTGGCCTTATGAAAACATTCCTCCCTCTGCACTATAATTGCCTGGTTCATTTCCATTCTTCTTTTTTAGTCTGGGGCTTGTATGGGGTAGAACTCGTCTGGCCCACTGCTATATTCCAAGTATCCAGGACAAACCCTGGCACACAGTAGGCACTAAATATTTATTGGATGTTGAACATTAGTGGGAATTCTATCCATCAGTTGGATAAAAAACAAGCACGTATTATTTGGACACCTGTAATAAAGACCCGTTTTTGCCAATAATGTTGTTACAAGTTTGGATGATAGAATTAAATGTATCAAGATTTCACAGGACCTTCTGTGCATCCTAACTCCACAGGAAACCCCAAGTCAGCTACCAGCTACATACTCATAAAGTTAGAAATAAGAAGATATTTTCCATCCCAAGCTCTATGGTACCTAAAGATGATTATGATGGCATTGAAATCATTGCAAATATTGACAACTGTCATTTTAAAACAACTCCTGGTCTGCTACCTAACTGCTTTTGAGAACTGATGGTTCACTTATATAATAAAATGGTGGATTATAGTTTTCTTTTAGAAAGTTAACAGTCTGATCTTTGTGACACAAATAAGATTGTTGTCAGAGAATGTTATCAGAGAATCAGCAGCAAGTTTTAAAAATTATGTGTATCAAACCTAGCTGGTATGGCTCAGTGGATTGAGCATCAGGCTGCAAAGCAAAGGATTGCTGGTTTGATTCCCAGTCAAGATACATACCTGGGTTGTGGGCCAGGTCCCCAGTGGAGGGCACACAAGAGGCAACCCATACATTGATGTTTCTGTCCCTCTCTTTCTCCTTCCCTTCCCCTCTCTAAAAATAAATAAGTAAAATCTTTTAAAAAAAAATCATGTGTATGCTTTAGGCTGCAAGGAACAGACTGTCCAACCAAAAGTAACTGAAACAATGAGGAATTTATGACCTCACAAAATAAGAAGTCTGGAAGTAAGCACTCCAAATTCAACCACTCAGGAGTCAGCTGACCTTTCTTTGATTCTCTCAGCTTTGCCCTCCTGGTGTCAAGGTAGCCATCATAGCTCCAATCATAACATTATCGTATGATGACGTTCAAAGTCAGGAAGGAAAGGGGAATTTCCTCCCACCTAGCTCTTTTTATTAGGAAGAAAAATCTTTCCCAGAAGCCCCCAGCAACTTTCCATAATGTCTTATTGGCCTGGACTGGTTCACATGCCCAACTATAGAAAAGGCCAGGGAGTGAACATTGGGCATTTTCAGAATTTCTTCTTTGCCATCAAGAAAAAAAGGAGAAAATAGCTGCTGGATAGGCAGCCTTGGTTCACTCTCAAAAATCACATTACTCATTATTTTCTTTTTATTTTTTCTGTTACAATCTCAGAGTCATAAGAGAGTTCAGGGTAAGGTATGGTGTCTAGATTCTACCATTCAGTTTTCACCTAGAACATTTGGCCAATAAAAACAGGCATAGGACTGTTGGTCAAATGAGGATAGTAACAATAACAGCAATAATAGCAATAACAGGAGCCCTCAGTAACTGCACACTTCCGCTATGTCAGAGTTCTAAGGGCTACACTGTCCAATATAACCATGACCTTGAACAGGCAGGACTGCTGTGTGGTAATCAGAGAAGAGCTGCATCCTCTTGCTGCCTCCTCACCCTTGCTGTTCCTTGAAGCCCACTCTGATGGGCTAGTTCTCCCTTGCTCTCTTGGATAAAATCTCAGGCAGGTGCCACTGGGTCTTCTGGTCACTCTTAGACAATAAAAAGTCCTCCAGGTGTGTGTGACACAGGGGGGCATGAACCTGTCAAAACTCAGTCAACACACACTTAAGGTTTCTGCATTTCAATCTAAGTAAATCTGACCTCAAAAGAAAAAAACTGTAAACAAATATTGAACTCTGGTTAATGGCATGTACTCTGGAGTATTTAGGGGAAAATGTACCAATGTCTGCCATTTACCTTGAAATGTATCCGAAGACAAGATGGTGGTAGAGCCTGCACTTTTAGGTATAAACGGAGCCTCCTTGTTCTCATCCTAAATGCAGCAAGGTCTGGATCTGCAGGGCCAGCTCCACCCCACCTGCTTGCCCAGTTCCTGGAAAGAGAAAATGGAGGGATAGCTGTACAAGCATCAGAGAGAGAGTTTAGAGCCTGCTCTTCATTTTGAGGCAAAATAACTCCATCCATATTCTCAGCAAATGTTTTGGATTCAACTCAGTCAAGTGAGTTAGTCCCTCCCCTCTCCACCTCATAAGGAGAGAAATGGACTCTCCTCTATGGGCATTGAGAGAAAGAGAGAAAGAGGATAAGACTCCCTCCTGACTAAGAATGACTTTCTCCAGAGGAGGAAGTCCACTTGCTCTGTGGCCCTCTCCAGAGCTGTGAGGGGCATCTGTCAGAGCAGCACCCTGGGTGGTGATCCACCCAGCTCTGCCTCCATGGTGGAAATTTGCTCTTCATCTCCCCAGTATGGATTCCACTCTTTTCAGCAAAAACCTCAGATTTTTCTGTTGGATCCACCTCTTTTTCTTCTCTCCATTGGTGTAATTTGTGTAAAGCCTCCACCCAACTCAGAGATAGAGCACATGACCCAGACTGGCCAATCAGAGCTTCTCATTCCCTTGACCATAGTGACCAACTGGTTGATTCTTTGGGTTCCAGAACACATCCCCCCCACCATGGGATTTGAAGCTATAGTAACAGGATAGACACTCTCAAGGTAGAACCTGTCACAAAAGACACTGAGCTGAGATAAGAAGAGGGTTCAGATCCTAATGGCATTACCTGAGCTCTTGTCTGTTGTCATGCTTGATGTAGGCATACTTATGGAGGTTTTTGGTCACATGAGCCAACATTCTTTAAAAGCTTTCAACACTGTCCCTTAAGACCCATCCCCACCATCACTGCCTAATTTTGGTCTTGTCATCTTTCATGTGGCTTAATACAAAAGCCTCTTGACTGTTCTCTCCTCCAATTCATCTCCCACTTGCTGTCAGAAGGAACTTTCTAAAACACCTTTGATTAGGTCGTGGCCCTGCTTAACAACACTTGTGCCTACAGGGGTAAAATCTACACCACGTAATCACACCCTTCCAGGCCCTGACAACTATGTCCCCACTGGGCTCATGTCAGCACTTCATCTCCTCCCACCACAAACTGACCATAGAAAACCACTGGCAGCTCCTGAAGCATCACCATGCTGCTAAGGCTTCGTACATTCTCTTCCTCCTGCTGGTTACTTTTTTACCCTTTTTCTCTACCTAATAAACTGCAACTCACCCCTTAGCACCCAGATGGAGCATCACCTTCCCTGAGAGGTCTTTCCTCACTGGGTCAGGTGTGCCCCTCTCAGTATTTCTCCCACACCAATCTTAATACATAATTATCCCCATCTTGTGGTTACGCCTCTCTCCTTCCCATTAGATACTGGGCGACCGAGGGTTAGGATTATGTCTTAGGGTGACTGTACATTAAGGTTTGCCAAGAACAACAGTTTTGGCTTTTGTTTGATGCCTCAGCACAATTAAGAGCACCCTTTTTACTCTCAACTGTCCTGGTTTGGATGATAAATTACTTGTTCACTGTACTTATTTATGATCGACTCCATGTATATAAAGAGTGTTAGAAAAAGTATTTCCATGCCCTGACTGGTGTGGCTCAGTGGATTGAGCATCAGCCTGCAAACCAAAAGGTTGCTGGTTCAATTCCCAGTCAGGGCATGTGTCTGGGTTACAAGCCCTGTCCCCAGGTGGGGGGCATACCAGAGGCAACCAGTTGATGTTTCTCTCCCTCTTTTTCTCCCTCCCTTCCTCTCTCTAAAAATAAATAGATAAAATCTTTTTTTAAAAAGTATTTCCAAATAAATGCATGAATAAGTGATCTTTCTAGGTCTAATTTTATTTTATAAAATAAATAGCTGAATTAGATTATTTGTAAGTTTTTTATTGCTTAAAGTTGTTCGAATTAAGTCAGGACTCCAAAAGGCCAAGATCAGTAATTTTGGTTTATCTTCCCCTTAAAATGACCCACCATATAGAATTCCACACTTAAACATATTAAGCCGGGATTAACAACTTCAGAGATTATGACCTGCTGGGAGTCTGGTTATTGACACACATAACTTCTCTACCAATGGTTAAATTCCCTCAGTTAGACCGGCCAGCAGCTGGGTAATCTCTTAGCATCAGGTCAAAAATAACTTTCATTTATTCTTGTGATGCATGTTGCATCAATAGGATTATTACTACTCCGATTTGCCCCCAATTTGTGTTGTGCTTCAGTTCCCAATCGATCCCATCCACATCCCTGAGTGCACACAGCATGCTCTGCCGTGGCCAAGCAGCAGTGAGAAATCTCACGGAGATTTGCACTTGGGTGCCGAAAGCCCTCCACCATAAATAACAGGTAACAACTGACTGTGGTCACATTTCATTTTACTAGAGCAGATGCAAAATTTTTGTAAGAAACGGCCAATTAATATTGTCACATCTTGGCTCTTTCACAGTAAAATGCAGGTTTTTATATTTACCCACATCTTGTTGCCAAAATCTAGCATAGTTAAAATTTTAGATCAGCTGCCTTTGAATAATTTAAATATTCTACAGACAATCAGAAAACAACACTAAATAACCTTGGTCACTTACAAAGTGGCCCATAAACTAACGTCCTTTGAATTTTTTAAAACATTAGATGTCTTAGCATTTTTTTCACAAATTGGGTGTCAATGGAACATGGCTTAGGTTTTCAAAAACTTGCAGAAGGCAGTATTTAAGAACAAAGAAATTCCCCTGATGGTAAAAAAAAAAAGTTTATTTGCATAACTTCTACACCTCCACCTCCCATGAGGCACAAACAAAAATAAATTTTCCGATACCTTTAATGTTGGTGCTCTACAATGCTATTTTTAGTGGCCAAGAAAAACTTCCTCTGAATACATGAAAAATAAATATTACCCTGCATTTCTTACTATTGTTTAGAAGATGTTGCATTAATATTCCATAGATCAAATCTCTATTGTATCACTGGATTTGTTTAACAAGACTTCCACAATTCTTTACAATTTGAGATTTGCCTGAAAAAAAAAACCAAACATATACAAATTTATTTTTAAGTTCTGCTTTAGCTGCTTTGGAGTGCAATTTGACAGCATCTAGTGAAGTTGAAAATATGGATACTTTACATGACCTAGCAACCCCACTTCAGGAGACATACCCTAGAACAGCGGCTTTAGAATTTGCTGGCACAAAATCCCCATGACACTCATAAAAATGACTGAGGACACCAAAGGAATTTTATTTAAACAGAAGGTATCACCCTGGCTGGTATAGCTCAGTGGATTGAGCGCGGGCCTGCGAACTAAGGGATTGCGGTTCAATTCCCAGTCAGGGCACGTGCCTGGGTTGCAGGCCAGTTCCCAGCATGGGACACATGAGAGGCAACCATACATTGATATTTCTCTCCCTCTCTCCTTCCCTTCCCCTCTAAAGATAAATGAATAAAATCTTTTTAAAAAGATATCTACTGACATTTAGCTTATTGGAAGTGAAAACTGAAAAAGATTTTAAATATGCATTAGTTAGTTTAAAACAATAAATCATCATGTTAATATAAATAACATTTTATTTATATTATTATGTTTTCTCAAGCAAAAACATTAGTAAAAAAGAGTGGCATTGTATTAGACTTCTGTGAATCTCTTTCATAGCTGACTTAATAGAAGACATCCAGATTCTTATGTCTCCTGTAATCAACCTGTTATACTGTAAACACCATATACCCTCTGGGAAGTTCCACTGTGCACTCATGAGAGAGGGAGCATAAATAAGGCCAAATTACACCTTAGTGCTGTTATGAAAATAGTTCTGATCACATGGCCCAGACCACACTTTGAGAATCACTGCCCCAAAGAAACTGACACATGTGTCACTTTGAGAATCACTGCCCTAAAGAAACTCAAGCACATGTATAAAGATGGTTTTTTGTAGTATCATTCATTACAGGGAGAAAGTGGAACCAATGACCATCTTGTAGTCTATCCACAGGGGACCATGAAGTCCATGCAGGCTGCCCTGTTGTTGCTTTGCTCACTACATACCTCCAATTCTTAGTGCATGGTGGGTGCTTGATGAACAGCTGTGGAAGGAGGGAAGTGAGAGAGGCAGCAAGGGTGGAAATATAAATATTGCTCTGCAACTTGCTTTAAAATTTAACTCTGTTCCGTGAACACATTTTCACAGATGTAAACTTAGGTCACAGGGTAGGAATGGCCAAAAGCAATGTGATTCTTGTACAGCTAGGAAGCATATTGTTCTAAAGCCCAAAAGTAAAGGTGTCTGTACTTTATCTGTTAAGCACCACAGGCTGCAACCCACTGCCATCCCATGGAGCATTAACCACACATTATGGGCAGACTGACCTTTGTTGTTAATCAATTTTGCCCATATTTTGTTTGGAGGTAGTCTGTAATTCAGATTTTAAAAATGAGTCAGTTATTTAAAGGCCTTTCTAGAAATAATATAATCAATGTAGATGTCTTTGTTATCCCTGTTATTTTCCTGTACACTGAAGGATTTTCTTTTTTTAAATATATTTTATTGACTATGCTATTACAATTGTCCCGTTTCCCTTTCTTTATTCTCCTCTGCCCTGCATCCCCTCTCCCACTCACATTCCCCTCTCCTTAGTTCATGTCCATGGGTCAGACATATAAATTATTTGGCTTCTCCATTTCCCTTACTATTCTTAACCTCCCCCTGTCTATTTTGTACCTACCATTTACGCTTCTTATTCCCTGTACCTTTTTCCCTATTCTATCTCCTCCAGTTCCCCACTGATAACCACCTATGAGATCTGTGATTCTGTTTCTTTTCTAGTTGTTTGCTTAGTTTATTTTTGTTTTTTTGGTTCCATTGTTGATAGTTGTGAGTTTGATATTATTTTACTGTTCATATTTTTATCTTCTTTTTCTTAGGTAAGTCCCTTTAACATTTCACATAATAAGGGTTTGGTGATGATGAACTCCTTTAACCTGACCTGATCTGGGAAGTACTTTAGCTGCCCTACCATTCTAAATGATAGCTTTGCTGGATAGAGTAATCTCGGATGTAAGTCCTTGCCTTTCATAACTTTGAATACTTCTTTCCAGCACCTTCTTGCCTGTAAGGTACTTTTGAGAAATCAGCTGACACTCTTATGGGAACTCCTTTGTAAGTAACTGTCTCCTTTTCTCTTGTTGCTTTTAAGATTCTCTTCTTATCTTTAAAATTGGGTAACTTGATGATGATGTGCCTTAGTATGTGCTTCCTTGGGTCCAGCTTCTTTGGAACTCTCTGAGCTTTCTGGACTTCCTGAAAGTCTATTTCCTTTGCCAGATTGGGGAAGTTCTCCTTCATTATTTGTTTAAAGAAGTTTTCAATTTCTTGTTCTTCCTCTTCTCCTTCTGGCACCCCTATGATTCAGATGTTGGGACATTTAAAGTGGCCCTGGAGGTTCCTCAGCCTCTCCTCACTTTTTTGAATTCTTCTTCATTCTGATCTGGTTGAATGTTTATTTCTTCCTTCTGCTCCAAACCATTGATTTGAGTTCTAGTTCCCTTCCTGTCACTGCTGGTTCCCTGTACATTTCTCTTTAGTTCACTTTGCATAGCATTCATTTCTTCCTATATTTTGCAACCATACTCAACCATTTCTGTGAGCATCCTGATTACCACTGTTTTGAACTCTGCATCTGATATGTTGGCTATCTCTTTGTTGCTTAGTTGTATTTTTTCTGGAAGTTTGATTTGTTCCTTCATTTGGGCGATTTTTTTTGTCTTGATGCACCTGTCATGTAGCGAGAGGCAGAGTCTTAGGTGTTCACCAGTGCAGGGTAACAACTGCAGTTGTGATGCTGTATGTGGGGGAGGGGTCTGAGAGGGAACAATGCTGCTTGATCAGCTCTTAGCCAGCTTTCAGTCACTTCCTCTGCTACCCACAAGCTGATGCTGATTCCCGGGTGGGTGGGTTTGTGTACATTCTGGGACCATGTGGGTCTCTCCAACAAACTCTCCTTTGAGGCTGGGAGTTTCTCCCATTGCTGCAATGTCCACAGGCTTTTACCACTAGAGGTTTTGAGGCTTTATTTCCCTGTACTGGAACCCTGTGTTGTGCAGTCTGTCTCACTCCCCAGTTGTTCCTTCCAGTTTATCTGCACACAAATGTGGGACCACCCAGTCTGCCAGCCACCTCTTTGCCCACCCTGGTCCTCCAGCTACTGCCTTGCCGCACACCCATTCCACCCCGGCTGCCCATCTCTTACCCTCCTACCCATCTGGATGACTATTCCTTCAACTCCTTGGTTGTTGGACTTCCACACGGTTTGATTTTCTGGCAGTTCTGGTTGTTTTTTGTTTTTAAATTTGTTGTCCTTCTTTTGGTTGTGTGAGGAGGCACAGCATACCTACTTTACACTTCCATCTTAGCTGAAAGTCGAATTTTCTTGTAATAATTTAGGTAAATTTGTTAACATTTCTCACCTCATACAACAAAACCAATGGTTAGAGACTTCCTCCAAGATGGAGGAATAGGTGGAGACGCCGTGCTTTCTCACACAACCAAGTTTAGAGACAACAAAATATTAGCAACAGAAAACACAGCCAGAACACAGAAAATTGAACTTTTCGGAAGTCTGATAACAACAAATTCTTCAGCCTGACCAGTAAGGGGGAGAAACCAGCAGCTGGCAGAGCGGGGTTGCACAGGAAAACTCAGTCAGACGGACTCAAGTGAATGGATCCCAGGCGTGGGGTTGCAACAGGAGGACCCAGTGAGAAACCCAGTGAGCGACCTGAGGATCCAGTGAGGGCGCAGGTTGGTGGGTTGACTGTGGTGCACATTCGTGCGCAGATAGACCAGCGAGGGAGTGGGTGGTGAGACAGGACCGAGCAGGCCCCAGCAGCAAGAGGCAGCAGAGGGGGCCGCTATTTCCCCACTCTGACCCCACCCCCACATACAGCCTCACAACCCAGCGACCTGCGTGGCCCCGCCCTGGTAAACAACTAAGGCTCCGCTCCTCTTACTTAACGGCGCAAACAGACCAAAAATGGCTCAAGAAGATCTCAAAGCCCCAGGGCCCATAAATCTAAGTGATGAAGAAATAGCCAGATTGAGCGCGGGCCTGCGAACCAGAGTATCGCGGTTCGATTCCCAGTCAGGGCACATGCCTGGGTTGCAGGCCAGTTCCCAGCAGGGGACACATGAGAGGCAACCATACATTGATATTTCTCTCCCACTCTTTCTCCTTCCCTTCCCCTCTCTCTACAAATAAATAAATAAAATATTTTAAAAATGTTTTAAAAAATTAAAAAAAAAAAAGAAATAGCCAAACTTTCAGATGCACAGTTCAAAACACTGGTGATCAGGATGCTCACAGAACTGGTTGATTTTAGCCACAAATTAGAGGAACATATGAAGGCTAAACTAATTGAAATGAAGGGAAATGCACAGGAAACCAATAGTGATGAAAAGGAAACTGGGACTCAAATCAAGGGAGTGAACCAGAAGGAAGAAAAAAGTGGCCAAACAGAAAAATATGAAGAAACAAAAATTCAAAAAAATGAGGAGAGACTTAGGAACCTCCAGGATATCTTTAAACATTCTAACATCCGAATTATAGGGGTACCAGAAGGGGGAAAGGAACAGCCACCAGTGAAAGACTTATTTGAACAAATAATAAAGGAGAATTTCCCCAATCTGGCAAAGGAAATAAACTTCCAGGAAATCTAGGAAGCTCAGAGAGTCCCAAAGAAGTTGAACCCAAGAAGGAACACACCAAGGCACATCATCATTACATTAGCCAAAATTAAAATGAAGGAGAGAATCCTAGAAGCAGCAAGAGATAGGGGGACAGTCACCTACAAAGGAGTTCCCATCAGACTGTCAGCAGATTTCTCAAAAGAGACCTTACAGGCAAGAAGGGGCTGGAAAGAAGTATTCCAAGTCATGAAATCCAAAGACCTACAACCAAGATTACTCTATCCAGCGAAGCTTTCATTTAGAATGGAAGGACAGATAAAGTGCTTCTCAGATAAGATCAAATTCAAGGAGTTCATCATCACCAAGCCCTTATTATATGAAATGTTAAAGGGACTTATCTAAGAAAAAGAAGATAAAAATATGAACAGTGAAAGGACAGCAAACTCACAGTTATTAGCAACCACACCTAAAACAAAAGCAAACTAAGTGGACAGCTAGATCAGGAGCGGAAACATAGAAAGGAAGATCTCAAGGAGGGTTAGCAACAGGGGAGTGGGTGGAGGAGAAGGAGGGAGAAGGTACAGAAAATAAGTAGCATAGACGGTAGACAGAAAATAGATAGGGGGCAAGAATAGTATGGGAAATACAGAATCTAAAGAACTTGAGACACATGGTCATAAACTAAAGGGGAGGAATGGTGGGGGCGGGGTGTGTAGGGTGGAGGAGAATAAAGGGGGAAATAGAATAACTGTAATGGCATAATCAATAAAATTAAAAAATAACAGAAAATTTAAAAAAAGGAAAAAATCAAAACCAATGGTTAAAACAAGTTAATGGATATTTTTGTTCATATAACTATCTTTTTCTTTCTCTCCTCTTTTCTTGACTTTGCTTGGTCCTAATTTGCATGGGGAAAGATTTTTAAAACTGCATGCAGAAAAAAAAGCAATGCATAATAACTTCTCAATAAATGTTTGCTGCTAATAAAAAAAGAATATTCGCAGACTTTTTTCAATGCTTTTGTTGTTGTTCAATTTCGTGTCCTCAATGCCTAACACATGTGGGAGTACAATAAGTAGTGCAGAAGGAGGGTGGGGTGGAAAAAGGAGAAGATGAAAGGGAAGAAGGAAGGCTGATTATGTTTTTAAAAGATAGGTTATGATCTTCAGGTGCCTTTTATCTCTATGATTCTGGAACATTAATAATGATAACAAAGAAGCCATCGTTAATTAAGAAGCTTTCAGCCCTGGATCAGTTGGTTGTAATGCCCTTCATGTCAGCCACCTACACTGGTCTTCAGTTTCTCAGGCACACTGCCAGCTGCCACAGGTCCTTGCACATGTAGTTCCTGCTGCCAGGGATTCTCTCCCACTATACCCTCTCATAATAGACAGTTGCTACTTTGCCTGTCCAAAGAGCTATCTCTCTTTTCTGGTAAGAATAAGAGCAAACAAAAAAACTATCTTTTCTTCCCATCACCTCATGGACCTTGTAGTAACATGGACACTTTCCCACATCCCAACATGTAATTCAGGCCAAAGTGCCTCATCCACTGGATTCAGTGATTGGTCCAGGTTTGGACATGTGATCCAAGCAGAACCGAGCTGAATTCCTTTTTCTATAATTGCTACAAATGCTCTCCTTTAGTAACCCTGGGCTCTGAAACATACCTCCACGTGGGAAAACAATTTATGAAGTCAACACAGAAAAAAGCAAGACCAAGAGATGGAGAGAAAGAAATGAGTCCTGATGACAGTGCTTAGATGCCTGAGTTCTGGCCTTTCCAGAGGCCTGTCCACCCCCCCCCCACCCTGACTTCTGTTAACATGAGACAAGTTATGCTCTGGCCAGAGCTGGGTTTCTACTACTGCATTTCCTTTGTCTACCTGACTCTTCAAGGAAAGCCAGATTCCAGAAAGTCTTCACAAACCTTCCTGTGTAGGTCTTCATTAATAAGTTCTTAATGTGCTCTCCAGCATAGCAGTCTCCACAGTTATCGCTTCATATGTATTCATGGATTTATTTAAATATCTCCTTCACAAGTACCATGAGAGGGCCTAGGGTTGTCTAGAGTGGGCACTCCATACATATTTGTAGAACAAATGAATTTCATGATGAATTCACGATTCTGAAAGGGGCAGCAAATTAAGCCCATAAAAGGTCAGAACAAAAGAGTTCTTTGTTCAAAAAAAGACTAAAAAGCCAAAATTTTAAAAAAAACAGTATTAACATGACTTCATATTTCTCAACAAAAATGTAGCTACTGTCTTTCCCTGCAATTCCTTTTTCATTCTTCTTCTGGCTTAAGCAGATCTTGGTTCTTAGAACAAAACTAAAGCTAAAAAAAAAAAAAAGAACGCTTAGTTTTGTTATTTTAAGGTAAAATAAGAAAACATTTATGGTTACAACTTACCTGAAAAAAAAAACAAAAAACCACGAGTAAATGGATTGAGGGCTAGCCCTACCAGATTTTAAAACGTATTTAAAAGCTCACAATTAGAACAGCTTATTATCGAAGGAGGGACAAATAGACAGAAACACACTTCAAATACATAACCAAATACATATGTAAATTTAGTTCATGATAAAGACGTCATTTAAAATCAGTGAGGAAGAGGATGATCCATTAAATGGGACTCAGGTCACACAGCTCATTAGTGGTGGATCAGCTATTGCCTGACTTTCTGACCTCTGAACTTATCCTATTTTTGTTTCTCTCTGTTTGAGACAACGATTGCATACGGGGGGGGGGGGGGGGGGGGGGGCAGAAAAACATTGAAAAGGTAGAACAAAAGTATGAAATTATTTGATGAGGTCGTACACCCAGACCGACCATGCTGAAGCCCGGCCATAGGCAAGTCTAGGACCTCCGGAGGACTCTACATCTCTGTGGTAACCAAGCGCACCTGGCGCTGGCGCCCGGGCCAGCCGGTGCACCAACCTGGGCGGTGCAGGACCCTCTAGGAGTCGACTCACGGAACACCCAGCCTAGGACCAAGCCGTCCGAGTCTGCGCAGAGAAGACACCAGAGTTTGTGGGAGTACACGCGCGTTGGTGGGCACAGCAAGGGTCGAAAGGGGGGTGCGGGGGTAGCGCGACCACCTCCTTGGGGAGCGCGCCGGAAGTGGCCGCCCAATCCTGGTGTCCAAGATGTTGGCTCCGCGCCCGAGTTAGAAACAGGATGAGCGATGGTGGCCGTGGAGGGGGCCCCAGTGGAGCAGGAGGCTGGGGGTGGCCTGGAGGTGAGACCCCGCTGCGTTCGCAGAACTGGTAGCCCTGACGCCCTCCAGGAAGCGGGGTGGGCAGCAGATCGGAGGCAGGAGGCGAACCCACCCCTTATTTCTGGGTGGGAGAGGCTGGGGCCTCCAGGACATGGGTTTGTGGGGCCTGGGCTGGGCTTTCTGACCCCTTGGCCCTCTTCTGGGTCTCGGTGTGCCCCTCCCACGGCCTTCCCCCATCTCACTGCCTCCCTCCCTACCCCTTGCCCACCCCCTGCCACCCCGCTCTAGTGTTTTCCAGTTTCCTCCTGTGCGTATCGCAGACTGCACCTCCCCCAAACCCAGACTCAAACCTTAGTCGTAAATTGACCCTATTCCTTGCCCAGCTCTGTGGCTTGTAGGTTGTAACAATGGACGAAATCTGGTTTCTAAGCTCCAGGAGTAACGGATAGTCCCGCTGGGAAGTCTAAGCTGAACTACAGGAATAAAGTGCATGCTTCAGACGTGTTCTAATATTTGATCTAAACTATTAGCACTGTTGGAGTTCAGAGGAGGGGGATGATTTAAGTCTGGTCTCTTCTTTGTAAAGGTCTGTATATCATTTTAGGAGTAACTTCAAAAGTCATTTTCTTTGGGAAGCCTTCCCCTACCTCCATTTTTAAGCTTCTCATCTTTTTAAGCTTATTTAGCTAGTGCTAAGTTCGTAAACTCTTATCGCCTTGTTTCAGGTGTGTGTCTGCGTGTGGTACCAGCCTCCACTCTGGGCAGGGACTCTATCTTTGTTTAGCATCACCTAATGCATGCACATGAGTATGAATGAAAAAGGATCGAAATGGTGCCCTGGCCAGATAGCTCAGTTGGTTGGAGTGTCATCCTGTACACCAAAAGGTTGCTGGTTTGATTCCCAGTCAGGACACATACCTCGGTTGCAGGTTTGATCCCTGGTCAGTGCATAGGGGAGGCAACCAATGGATGGTTCTCTCTCACACTGATGTTTCTCTCTCTCTAAAATCAATTTTTAAAAAAGGATTGAAATGATTAGAAGGTACTGACTGAGGTGGGCCTGCAACAGTGGGAAGTATTTGTATAAGTCAGAGGTTGAAAAATGATGGCCCCTGGCCAGAACCAACTGTAGATATATTTTCATAGTTCATGGTATTTGTTTTTATTTGAATTAGTGATCAAACTTTTATATCAGGAAATTTCTTTGACATCTACTTACACAAAAATCTACATTTTCACTACCTCTTGGAAAATCAGAAGATGTAACCAAATAAGGCCCATGCGCCTGCATGGTGCTATTAGTAGGAGTTGAGTAGCAAGTCACTCCTTTAGACTTTGTCTAAAATGTCCAGATTCCTTATCGTCACTAATCCATTGTCTTTCCCTGACACGGAAGCAAAGTATCAGTTGTCATTTATCACCTAGTTTGCTGCACTCCTGATTAACTGCCTGGCCTCTTGCAGCCCTTTGAGTTCTTGATTCCAGATGTAGAGAGAGGTGAACAGGGAGGGCATTGCGAGTAAGAGAGTCATGGGTAAAGGGATGGAATGGAGAGCAGCCTAGTATATGGAGAAATTAGAGAGGATTCCAGAGCATAGGTTTGCTTTTAGGTGAATCATAGAGTTGGGCTATTGTTATGGGTTGAATTATGTCCCCCTCCAAAAGATACTTAAGGTCCTAATCTTCAGTATCTTAGAAAGCGATCTTATTTGGAAATAGGATTGTTGCAAATATCACTTGGTAAAGTGAGGCCATACTGGAGCAGAATGGGCCCTAATTCAGTGTGACTTGTGTCCTTATAAGAAGATGGCCATGTGGAGGGAGAGACAGAGGGAGAGTGCCACGTGAAGATTGAGTCAAAGATTGGAGCGATGCATCTACAAAGCAGGGAACACAAGGATTGTCACTAGATGCTAGGAGAGAGGTATGGAACAGTTGTTTCTCAGAGCCTGTGACTGGCTCTGGGTACCCTGTTTGGATCTACAAAGTGATCCAGTTTGTGACTGCCTCTACTGGGCCCACATGTGCATGGGAAGGACCAAGCTGTACACCAAGGCGGGCTTCCACCAAATCTGGGGGCAGGTCAGCAAAAGGCCCAAGCATCCAAAGATCTCTCTGCCTGCTGGCCGCCTGATAGGCTCAGTCAGTGAAGGAGTCTTTGGCAATATTCAGGTTGCATGAGAAAGGTTTTCAGTGAGCACATGGAGTTCACCAGATTGATAGAGGTTCAATCTCAGTGCTAGTGCTGGGTCTGAGGCCACTCAGCAAAAGTCCCAGTGTATACCAAGTTTAGCTTCCCCCTGCTGGGTTTCTGCAGACCTTTGTGGTGGGCCATGGTGTCAGGAAATCATCAGACTGAGGCAAGCAGAATTTATCAGGTCCAAGTAGACCAAGATTTGGCTGTGTGAAGAGAGGGCTCTGCACCAGTGGGGAGTGCAAGAGAAAAATAGCCTCTGTCCTTGAGACACACAACTTAGTCTGTCCCAGATTTTTCGAAGAGCCCAAGCTCAGCACAGCAGGGCCACCAGGAATCCAGGAGCATGGAGTTAGTCCCTCCCTCCACCTAGATATCCCAGGTGGGGGAGTACTAGTCAGGTTTAGGGGAAGGGGGGAGGAGTGGCCCCCATCCCAGAGCCACACAACTCAGTCACTGACACCCCCTGAGTCTGCCTGGACCTCTACACCCCTTCCCAGGCAGCTGACTCCTTAGCTGGGCGTGGGCTGTGAAAGATGGGTGACAGGGAGTCTGGAAGGTGGGGCTACTGCCTTCCCCAGGCTGACGCCAGAAGGAGAGTAATACTCCTACCAAGAGAGGTGGCATCTGCAGTGTGGGAAAGGGACTCAGCACAGGGATCCTGGCAGCTGCCCCTTCAGCTCTCTCCCCAGAGCTACAAATCCCCAATCCCTCTTCAAGAGACTCTAGTCCACTCTGCTCTCCCTCCACCAGAGCCCAGAGTGGCTGTGGTTGATGTATTTGTGCATTGGCCCTTTAAAAGAGCTCCTGTGTCCCTAGCAGACTCCTGTCTCTCCCTGGCAGACAGAATCCCCACCGATTTTCACAGTCAGATATTGCATGGGCTCCAATTCTGGCCCTGGTGCTCTGGGCCAGGAATCCCAGCATGGGGTTGAGACCCCATGCTCCTCAGGGGGAACCTTTGCAGCTGAGATGTCCCTCCAGATATCAGCTGCAGCCCATGGGAGTGGGGCCAGCCCATTTCACATCTCCCCGCCCCCCCCAACTTCCTATCAATCTCAAAGTGGCTTCTTCTGTTATCCTTGGTTATGAGACTTCTGTTCAGCTTGTCTTCAGTTGTTTATTCAGGTTGATGGTTCTATGTTTTAATTGTAATTGAGTTTGGTCCTGGGAGAGAGTGAACCACCTACTCCTCCACTGTCTTAGATCTTGGTCTCTCACATTTTTAGCGGGAGAGGCAAGATGAGCTACTGAGACCAAGGGTAATAAAGTAGGAAGTAGTAGATTTTTAAATAGAAGAGAGAGTATGGAGTATTTGTTACTGGCTTTCCACTGGGCAGTTTTTGAGCAGCAACTTCTATGTCAGAATTCAAGATGCTGCAGGATGCAGCTGTGAATTAGTCAGAAAAGGATTCTGGGCACCAGATCTGTACTCAGTTGGAATCTTAGCAAGGAAGAGGCAGAGTTGGTCTTACTGGATAAGGACTCCATCCTCAACATAGAATCCATACACTCTAACTTCTTGTTCAGTTGAAAAAAAATGTTTTTAAGATCTCAGTGGAATTAGAAGATTAAGGATTCCCAATGGCTTTGACCCTTGGAGGCAAGATTCTGCAGCTCTTTGGTAAAGGATAGCTAGCCTGACCTGGCATTAGAAATTCATAGCTTCTTGACTTGCCCTGTGCTTTCTCTCTCTGTCTTACTAGTCCTGTTAGACCAATAGATGACCAAAACTCCACTCATCTTCAAATCTCAGACCTGTTCCTCCCATCTTTGAAAACTACTCTTCCTCCTGTGTCCTCTGTCTTCATAAACAGCACCACATCATTGCTAAGGTCAAAAACTGAAAGGACATTCTTGACTTCTTTCTTTCCCCACATGCAGTTACCATGCTCTGTTGATTCTAGGCTGTACCACAGGAGACAGTGCTTACCTTGCTGGTCACTGATCATACTATCTTGTTATCCATTTACACATATGTCTCCCCGCCATTAAACTGGAAGTTCCTTGAGGGCGAAGACCACATCTAGTGTTCACTTTTGTATTCCCAATACCTAGTACAATGTCTGGAACACAGTGGGTGCTCAGTTAATGTATGTTAGGCAAACAAACCAATAAATGACATGAACACTGAGGCCCTTTCTGCAGAAACTCACTATAAAGTTCAGCTATATTGGACTGTAAAGAACTAACCCCTGATCAAGCTTATGTTTCAGATACTGTTCCCTTCTGCTTCAGATATCCTCTGAGGGAAAGAGTTCCTTAAACTACTTCCGGTGGAATTGGATGAAAAATTTGAGTAGTGTGGCCACCAGTCTTTGAGGAGAGAGCTATATAGGACAAAGGACTGGGTACTTTACCATTCCCATGCCTGTGGCAAAGTTTGATTCTAATGATTCTTATAGAAGAGTGCTTTTATCAGTATTTGCAAATAATGTATTGTTTCCCCTTTCTAGCCCCTTTACTACTTTGCTTATATTACCTTCATTTTGTCCTAGATCTAAGATGAAGTTATACCGTGTATTCATTATCAGCCAAGATCCAGTCAAGAGACAAAAACTATACCAGTTATTGAAACAAGGGACATTTTATATAAAGAATGTTTACCGAGTAAAAGGTGGTTAACTACTAAAAGGGTTACAAGAAGACTCTGAGGAATATAGAAATAGATAATGCAGGAGGCAGCCTTACCTCGCTTTGAGGGAAGTAAAGAAGGAGGAAACCAAGAATTTAGAAGAGGACTTCATAGCTCAAAGCTGAGATTCAGATGTTTTTGAAGAGGTTGTGGCTGCCAGAGGGACACATAGCCTGATGGTGGAGAAGAAGCTTACCAGAGGGCATAAGCCAGAGCTAATCTGTAAGAGTGGCCTGCCTAATGCAGAGAAATTCACTGTAGGGTATAGACCGCCTGCTACGTGGTGGAAAACTCATTGGAGGGCATGGGTGGGCCACAGCTGGTCCATCACAAGCTATTAAGCCTCCCATCTGTTGACTTGTCGGCCCTCCAAAAAACAAAATTAGCTTACTAGTATCAGGAAGAGAAATCCCTTTTTCTGTGTATGCCTCACACTGCTCCTTCAGCGCCCTCTGCTGACTGAGCCAGATGACAGGAGAAATGTTTTGGGGTCCAGCTCCACTACCAAAAGTAGGCTGAAGAGGACAAAATGGGACTGTATAACACAGTCCCACTTTTGTATATAACAAACATCAGCAGTAGGTGTCTTTGGAAGGCAGGATCAAGGGGTTATAGGTGCTTATTATTTTCTTAGCATTTTATTTTTTTATAATAAACATGTAGTATTTTTATAATCAACAAAAATGTTACGGAAAAAGTATTTGTAATTTTAAAAGATTCTTTCTCTAAAATTATGAAAAAATTATTATGAAATACATTAAGAGTTTGAATCACTTTAATGGTATCTGTTGATTTCCTGTCGTGAAAGATAGGTAAAGCAGCACAATTTATACTCACTCCCACCACCTCTCCTCCTCACAGTGCAATTTTTATAATATAATTATTTTAACATTGTCATGGTTTCATTCACTTCCTATTCTACAAAAATAATTTCCAATTGTTTAATCTCAGTTCTGCGATTAAAATGATTCAGTGCTCACCATCGATTTTTTTACATTGTCCTCTCAATTCTTTAATGTTTATTTTAATTTATTTCTTCATTGGCTATATTTCAGGCAAGCAGTCCTTTCCAAAAAGAGCGCTCATGGGTGTCAAAGTCCATGAGTTTTTTTTACCTACCTGACAATGTTTTCCCATGCTTTTAACATGAAAGTGCATGTTGCTGGGTAAAAACTATTTTAGAGCACACTTTGTTTCTCTTAATAACTTTATGAGCATTACTATATAGTCATCCTGGGTATCAGGGTGTGGATTGGTTCCAGGACCCCTGTGGATACCAGAATCCACACATACTCAATCCCTTATATAAAATAGTGTCATATTTGCATATAACTTACACACATCCTCCTATCTACTTTAAATCATCTCTAGGTTACTTACAATACCTAATATAATGTAAATGTTTATACTATATTGTTTGGGGAATAATGACAAGAAAAAAGTCTGTACATGTTCAGTATAGAAGCAACCATCATAGGCCTAACTATGAAGTACATGTCAGCAATAATGTAACTTTTTTAAAAGATTGTATTTATTTATTTTTAAAAAGAGAGGAAGGAGGTGTGCATGGGGCAGGGGTGGGCTGGGATGGAAGAAATAAACAGAATACTGTACTTGAAAAATAACTAAATTTTTTTTAAAAAAAGAGAGAGGAAGGAAGGGAGAGAAACATCAATGTGTGGTTGCCTCTCATATGGCCCCCACTAGGAACCTGGCACTGGGGACCTGGCCTGCAACCCAGGCATGTGCCCTGACTGGGAATTGAACCAGCGACCCTTTGTTTCCCAGTCCCGTGCTCAATCCACTGAGCTACACCAGCCAGGGCAACAATGTAACTTTTTTTAAAAAGACTTTCAACAGTAGTTGGTTGAATCCACAGTTGTAGAATGCTAGGGTGTGGAGGGCCAATTGTGTTCTGTCTGGCATTAAGGTTAACTGTGGAGAAGTGTAAAGTCAACCTGAAATTCTCTCACACATTACTTGCTTTTCTGCCTACATGCCCATTTGCTCATTTGTTCCTGAAATATAGTTACTTCACCAGGAGATATCTTGGTGTTGACTGTTACATATCAACTTTTTATTGGCTACAACACACCCTTCCAATAGAGTCAAGTCCTCATTTAAGCAACATTTTCTTCTGTTACATATTTGAATGTTTTTATTTTGTTCTTCAGGAATACTAATTTTATGTATTTGAATATCTTTCTATTGCTACTTGTCTTCTCTATAATCATATTTATATCCGTTTCATTCAGTATGATTTCTCTGGGCCTCATCCTGTAGTGATTATTTTGTTGTTTCTTAGGTGAATTTCATTTACATAATGCTTTAGTTTTCTCTTGCATTTCTTTTCTCAGACCTTTCAAAGTAGTTCTCATTTTTTATTATTTTATAATCTATAATCTATTTTAAAGCCTTATATCTCTTCTTTGAAATAATGGAGAACTCTGATGCTTCATATCAGTTCCTGTGGTATTCATCTCAGATGTATGCTCCTAATCCCTCTGTTACTCCTATTCCTTTCTTTCCTAAAACAATCACCACCACCTATTTTCAAGCATACTTCCCATACAGTTACCTTAATGATCATGACTGCACAGTGAATGAATCAGACTCTCCATTAAAGATTACCATGGGAAGAGGCAGAACTAGGGCACTTTAGAACCTTCATGCAGATTTGCTGCCACAAACACCTTCTCATCTAATCTACAGTCATATCTCCCTTCAGTTTTTGGTTTCCAGGAGATCAGTGTGGCACAAGGGAAAGCCCTTTAAACCACAGGCTTTTCCTAATACAATTTGAAAGTCACACTGTCTACTCCTTCTTCAGCTTGCTTAACCTCTGTCAGTGTTCCTTAGCTAGAACTAGGCGGAAGGTAATAGAGATGATCTGCAAGCATGGCTCCCCGCTTTAGTATCTCTCTCCTCTGATGTGTCAGACTAGATGTCTACAGGGACAGTCCTTGCTTTCTTCATGACTCCCCTCCTGCCATGCTCTAGATGTCGTCACTCTGATCAGAAGGTCACTGAATGTGCCATTCAGAAATATGAACCTTCTGGAGATGTCTGTATGTGGCCCTCTTTTTTAAGATGGAGTTCACCTCATTTGTCATTTTTTTCATTGTTTTCAGTGGCTTTTGAGAAGTGCCTTTACCATCTATTAGCCTGTTTTTAATTTTTGAACATGTATCAAACAAAAAAACACTTTATGATAAAGGCAGTTCTTTCCAGTATTTTACTTGACTTATTTAAATGAAATCCAGCCTGGATATAGAGGTTTATCCTAGGGACATTTTACCCACTAATAGTTGGGCTTAAAGAGTCAACATTAACAGTAATAATAACAGCAGATGCCACTAATATAGTGGCATCTATATGCCATGTGCTGTTCTAAATGTTTCACATATATTTATTCTCATAACAACTGTGAGGTAAATGTGATTACTATCTCCATTTTAGAGTAAGGAAACTGAGGGACAGAGGGCTCCAGCGACTTGCCTAAGATCACACAGTCAGTGAGTGAGGGAGCCAGGATTCAAACCCAGGCAGTTGGCCCTATTGTCCATTCGGAGTCTGTGTTTTTAATCATTATGTTGTATTACCTCTTATTCATTGCAAAAAGATTAATGACTACAGAGTTCATAGCACTAGGGCCAAGGTGAAATGGCTCACTCAAGGAGCTCAGAAGTGTGTTTTTGTGTGGGAAATGTCAGGGATTTGAGGATATAGACACGTAAAAATAGTAAGCTCATATGCTTCCAGTCACAGGATACAAAGTTGCCATACAAAAGGAGGCAGTTCTACCAGAAAGAAAATGCCAGGTCTGAGAAAGGGAGAGTTGATTCCTATTAAAATGACAGGCAAACATTTTTATTCTGAGACATATTTTCAAAATTGTTTAACTGTTATTATTGGGAGGAAAGGGTAGGGTGCTAGTTATTAATTTATTGTCTCTCAACTCCAAATCTACCCTTCTTTGCCTTGCTTTGCTTCTGTTACTGGATCTCAACCATTCCTCCTTTGCCAGCTGGCACAAGATTTATACTTTTGTCAATAGAGGATACTAGAGGAACAATGGGAGGCCACTGAAAAAGAAGGGAACTCTTCTAGTGCTGGTGTGTTTTCATTACACACAAGACCCGCCCAGTCTCTACCCCATCAAAAAGGCCATTCCCTAGGGCCAGCTCCAGACCATCTGCCTCCTCCCTTGAATTTTCCCACCACCCCACAGACCACTCACACACACCAGCTCCAGCCTGCACCTGACACATGTCTTCTCTGCTAGTAGGGTATGTGTTCCTGTGGTGCCACAATCTCTCTAAAAAGGTCTGAATCTCAGCCCCAGTGGGGAAGAGTCCTCCTCTAGTTTCTTTGTTCCTCCTTCTTAAACTTCCCAAAATAGACAGATGTGATTTTTGTACTTTAGGAATTATAGGATGGCCTACTACCTATCATTTCAGATTCTGAGACCAGGGATAAAATGAAGAACTGGAAGGCAAAGATGAAAATTTCTGAAGAAAAAGATTTAGCAAGGGCTGTACCAGAAATACTCTAAAAACAAATCTCCCAGGAATGTGGGTTAGTCAAAACCAGTGATCCTGAAGACAGGTTATTGTGACATTGGGTAAGGCCCTCAGAGAATGTGGTGAAGCAGCCTCCTTCCCAAGAGAGAGCCATCAGGGAAGTGGATTTCATCCCCAAGAAAGCCATTGCAGGAGAGATAATGAAGGAGGAAAAATACTTTCTGCCGAAGAAAGATCCCACAGGTATGACATCTGTGGCCAGAGCTGCAAACAGAAGTCAGAAGTAACTGAACATCAGAAAATTGATACTATCAAGAAAATCTATGAATATAAGGAATGTGGAAAAACTTTTAATCAGGGATCAAGCCTGGTTATACATCAGAGAATTCATTCAGGAAAGAAACCATACATATGTAATGAATGTGGGAAAGACTTTAATCAAAGTTCAAATCTTATTATACATCAGAGAATTCATACAGGAAAGAATCCTTATATATGTCATGAATGTGGGAAAGACTTCAATCAGAGCTCTAATCTGGTTAGACATAAGAGAATTCACAGTGGTGAGAATCCCTATCAATGTAAAGAGTGTGGGAAGGCCTTCAAGGGAAGCTCAAACCTTGTCCTACACCAGAGAATTCATAGCAGAGGGAAGCCATATGTATGTGATGAATGTGGGAAGGCCTTCAATCAAAGCTCAGATCCTATAATACATCACAGAATTCACACAGGAGAGAAACCCTATGAATGTTATGAATGTGGACAAGCCTTCCTAAGTTCCCTTGTAACATCAGAATCATACTGGATTCAAGCCTTCAGCAGCGTTCACGCCTTACTGAACACCAGAGACTCCACAGTGGAGAGAAACCCCATGAATGTCGTGAATGTGGTAAATCCTTCAGTGGGCGCACAGCTTTTCTTAAGCATCAGAGACTACATACTGGAAAGGAACTTGAATGTGAAAAAGCCTGCACTTCTGAGTTGGATCTTATCAAACAACAGAGAATACATAGGAAAGAAAAACCATATGAATGTACTGAGTGTGGTAAAACTTTCCGGGGAAGTTCAGATCTAATTTGGCACTGGATAATTCATACTGGAGAGAAACCGTATGAGTGTAGTGAATGTGGGAAAGCCTTTGGCCAGAGGTCTCACCTTGTTACACATCAGAAAATTCATACTGGAGAGAAACCCTATCAGTGTAAAGAATGTGGGAAAGCCTTCCGGCAGCATTCACTCATCATTCAGCATCAGAGGATCCATAGTGGGGAGAAACCCTATGAATGTAAGGAATGTGGGAAATCCTTCATCTGGTGCACAGCTTTTCTCAAACATCAAAGACTTCATACTGGGGAGAAACTTGAAGAAGGTGAGAAAACATTCGGCATGAATGAGTTGTTTAAAGAAGAGCAGAGAGTTCACCATGAAAAAAAAAAAAGCTTGTCTTGGTAATCAGTGTGGTAGAACTTTCCGGAGCAGCTCAGACATCATACATCGTCACTCATGCTGGAGAAAAACCATATGAATGTAAAGAATGTGGAAAAACCTTCAGTCAGAGCTCAGACCTTATGAGACATCATAGAATTCATAGTGGTGAAAAACCTTATGTATGCAGTAAATGTGGGAAATCTTTTAAGGGGAGCTCAGATCTTATTAAACACCATCGTGTTCACACTGTAGAGAAACCCTATGAATGCAGCAGCTGTGGGAAGGCCTTCAGTGGGCATACAGCCTTTCTTAAACATCAGAAACTTCATCCTGGAAAGGAACTTGTTGAATGTGAGAGGGTTTTCACACAAGACTTATTCTAACAGGTTGCACAACCTAATGAATGTAGAAAAAGCCTGGTGGAAATCACATCTTATTACACTATAGAGGATTTTTATTATTCAAAACCATTTGAAGAAAGGAAAACATTACAAGAGTCCTAGTGTATGGAAAACATGTAAGTATAGTCAGATGGAAAAGTTCTTGGACATAAAATAGCCTTTTTCTGCCTCAGAATTATATTGGAATATGGTCCCCAGCATATAATTACTTGACAGTGTTTTAGGCAACTTCTGTTGTTACTAAATCATTATAAATCTCTTCAGCAACAACCCAAAAACTAAATTCTTCATGAAAGGAGCCCTTTAAATCTTGACTACCTAGTCCAGTGACCAGTAAAAATCTTAAGTACTTTAGTGTGATTAAATATTTCTCTGGGATGAATTCTTTGCCTTAGGTAGGTGTTTTACACATATTCTCTTTTTTCCATCCTTATAAAAATATGCTTATGCATATGCAAAAATGCTAATTAGAATGAATCCCTAATTGACAAGAAACCAAAATAATAGAAATGACAAGATAGCTGAAGGCCAGGAGGATACAAGAGCCACGTGACGAGTTTCCCCAGAGAAACAGGAGTGACTACTAGTAGTATCAGGAAATGAAAGACCAAGGGACAGGAGAACAGTAGGTTTTGGGACTAGGATAAGACTGAGTGCTGGGACTGAGCATTTAGGTGACATGGGTTGGTGGGAATTCGAAGAAAGCATCTGCCATGAAAGTTCAGTCGATTATAGGGAAAGTGGTTTTCTCTTGAACCAGGACTTTAAAATTGGGCACAGCTTATTTGAGAATTGAGGAGTCTAAACAGAACTCTGAAGAGGTCATTATTTAAGCTGCCAACTAATTTGGTAATTAGGCCCTGCCTCTGGGCAAACTCACTCCTTACATATTTCTTATACTCTGAACTACTGGCAGATTGCATCTGAATTTCCATGAATCATCAAATAAGAAAGCTCCTGAGAGAACCATGTAAGGCAAGGAGAATTTCAACCTCATATCTTTCATCAGTGGGAGTAGCTTATGAGATGCATAGAAGGAATCAGTGGTTCACAATGGGATGGTTTTGCCTCCTGTGGACATTTGGCAATGTCCAGAGACATTTTGGTTGTCACAACTTGAAGAAAATGTTGACTATATAAAGTCCAAGGATGTTGCCAACATCTTAAAATACACAGCCCTACCCTCCTCCCGAACAAAAAATGTTGACACCTTCAGACCAGGTGGTCTCAAGTATCACTAGTGCCATTTTTGAGGAACCCTACCCATGGACATTTAAAACACCAGTCACCTGAGGCCACTTAAGTGAGCATTTCAGTGTCATGTGGGCAGTGGCAGTGTGTCCTGGGGGAACTCATAGAAACCTTTAATTTAATTAGGAGGCAATCTGGTGTGGAGGGAGCACAGATATGGGTTTGAATTTCAGTATGATATATTGCTTTCAGGACTGGAGCAAACTATGTAGCCCCTCTGATCTTTATTTTCCTTATTAATAAAGCAGTAATAAAGTAATCTTCCTCATGGAGTAATTGTGAGTTATTTTTAAAAATATTTTATTGCTTATGCTATTACAGTTGTCCCATCTTTTTCTCCCCTTTATTCCCCTTTGCCCTGCACCCCCCTTCCCACCAGCATTGCCCCCTCCCTTAGTTCATGTCCATGGGTCATACTTATAAGTTCTTTGGCTTCTCCATTTCCTATGCTATTCTCAACCTCCCCCTGTCTATTTTGTACCTACCAGTTACTCTTCTGATTCGCTATACCATTTCCCCCATTCTCCCCCACCCCCAATTGTGAGTTTTAAAACAAAATGAAGTATTTGTAAGCAAACCATAAAGTGTAAGATACCGTGCTGTCTTGTGACTGGTATAAAGAATATGACCTGTTAAAGTTCAAGGCACTGGGGAGCTGTAGTATCCCCAGAGGGGCACCCTGAACATTAGTGGGATGTCTTGAAGTGGAGAAGCCCATCTATACCATGCCACACCTTCCCAAAGCTGGCTGCTTGTGGATGGTGGTACAGAGCATGCATACCCCCATCACTGTCTCAAATGTTAAAGCTCTTTAATAATCTCACATATACATAAATTAATATTCTTTTTACATCAGAATATCTTTATATTTAGGAAGCAAAAGAATTTCAAAATGGCTATTATCAGTGATACACCTGGATTACAAATTAAAGATACTTGCCCTGGCTGGTGTAGTGTAGTGGATTGAGCGTGGGCTGTGAACCAAAGTGTCGCTAGTTCAATTCTCAGTCCAGGCACATGCCTGGGTTGCAGGCCAGGTCCCCGGTGGGGGCCATGGGAGAGGCAACCACACATTGATGTTTCCCTCTCTTTCTCCCTACCTTCCCCTCTTTCCAAAAATCAATAAATAAAAACCAATAAAATCTAAAAAAAAAAAGGTACTTAACATTTTTTAGTTATCCCAGATTCTAACTAATCAAAACCTTTAGCTAACTGGGACATTTTAGCATTCTTTTTTTTTCTTTATGTAAACAAAGGGAGTTGGGAATTTATTCTTATAAACCCATTTCCATGTCCTTTATACAGTGAGAGTGATGTTTATTGGGATAAGCAGGATATTGAAAGGGGCCTTAAATAGCTAAAGACCTAAACTCCAAGTCTTTTTGAGGAACAGGTGTGATTGGAATGTGGACTAAGAGACATTCATCTATATAAATATTTCATAGGAAACAATACTCTTAACTACTACCACCTTGGGGAAAGAGCATATGAGTACAGTAGAGAAAGGGAGTGTTACCCAATAATCTTCCAGTTTGGTCCATTTTTCTCAATTTTTCATGCCCTTAGAGTGAGGCCACCATCATCATCTCTTACTTATGTTATTACCACAGCCTCCTAACATGCCTCCTGCTTCCACTTTCCTACAGAGCAGTCTGAGTGTCCTTGCTTTAGAACAAATCTGATAGAGCCACCCACCCCAAACTTCTGTAGAGCTTTCCCACTAACCTGAGCCTGAATCCCAGTCCTTACAGTGACACATGTGTTCTGATCTGGCCCCATTCATTCACTCACTAAATATTTATGAGCTTCTAATATGTGTCAGGTATGGGGTGGGTGGGAGTGCAAAGAGTGGGGAGCAGAAATAGATAACAGTCTCTGCCCTGGTGGAACAGAGGAGAGATTAATTAGGATCATAACTAAAATTATAAGCATGGTAAGTGCCAAAAAGGAAAGGCATGAAAGTGTAGAGGGAGATAGTTGGGAGGACTTTCTGGAAAGTGCTTACCTTTCTAAATCCAACAGTTACCTCTGAACTATCTGTAGCTCCCCAAGAACCTAGGCACTGCCCTCTTACCCTATGGCCTTTCCACAAGCTGTTCCCTCTGCCAAGAATGCTCCCTCCCTCCTTACCTAGCTCCATTCTTTTTTATAGTATTTCCTATGTATTGGGTACTGTGATAAGGACTTAACACCCATTTTCTCTTGCATTCTTTGCCTCCATCTTAATTGGTGAATACTACTGTTTTCTAAACAGGAAACTAAAGTCAGGAAAGCAAAATAATTTACCCAGAGAGTCAAAACTATTAAATAAACTGGAATTCAAATCCAGGCCTGCCTGACTCCAAAGCGCATTTCCTTTGGCACTCCCAGTTCCTTCATGTTGGCCTCATTTATCAGGTCATCTTCCCTGATGTACACCCAGTCAGGGTTAAGTGCTTCCACTGTGCTCCCAGACACCACAGCCTTCATAGCACAGACATTGATAGATTTGTCGCTCCACTAGACAGAGCTCCACTGGGAAGGGATTGGGTCTTTCTGATCTTTGCAGGTCCAGTGACTCTAGGTAGAAGGATCCAAGCCTCAGACACTAGGACAGACGATAGCTCATGTGGACAGAAGTGTGATCGCCCTCTGAGCTCGTCTAGAAAAGGGGAGGACTCTACTAGGTAGCCATTCCACACGCTAACCAGGGAGGCTGCAGGGGTGAGAGGGCCTGGCTGCCAGCTTTCACTGTAGCCTGGCTCCCACCTAGACTGGACAATGGCTACAGCTTCAGGGGAAGTTCTGAGTGACAGGGTGATCTGCCACAAGTGTTACACCAACCACCTGCACCCTGAAAGATCAAATAAAGCCCTTGCACTGTCTCCTCAGCAGTGCAGCTGACCTCCTGTCCAAAACATATGGCCATGGGGCCTTAATTAAGTTTCCCTTTTGCTGCCTGGAGCAGTTAAAAAATGAATGAATGCAACCTGTGAATATCTCATATTTGAGTAAATGGAATAGTGGATCAATTCCCTCAGCTAAAGAAAAGTGGCGTAGGTGGAAACACTATGCCTCCTCACACAACCGTTTAAAGACAAAGTTTTAGTAAAAAAAAAAAAAAAAAAACCCAAAACACAGAAAATTGAACTATACGGAAGTCCAACAACAACGAACCATTCAGCCGGACCAGTAAGAGGGGCGGAGCCAGCAACTGTTGGAGTGGGGTCAGGCAGGAAAACTCGGGCAGACAGCCCAGGTGCGGGTGGCAGATGGTGGATCCCAGGTGTGGGGTTGCAACAGGCAGACCCAGTGAGGGCTCAAGGTGGCAGGCTGACCGCGGTCACACATTCACGCACAGATAAACCAGGCAAAGGAGTGAGCAGTGAGATGGACTGCGCAGACCTCAGCAGCGGGAAGCAGCAGAGGGGACCACCATTGCCCCTCTTTGACCCCGCCCCCACATACAGTGTCACAACCCAGTGACCCGGGTGGCCCCACCCTGGTGAACAACTAAGGCTCCGCTCCTCATACGTAATGGGCACGAACAGACCAAAACATTATGGCTCAAGAACAACTCAAAGCCCCAGAGCCAATAACTCTAAGTGACCAAGAAATAGCCAGCCTATCAGATGCACAGTTCAAAACACTGGTAATCAGGATGCTCACAGAACTGATTGATTTTAGTCACAAATTAGAGGAACATATGGAAGCTAAACTAATTTAAATGAAGGGAAATGCACAGGAAACCAGTAGTGATGGAAAGGAAACTGGGATTCAAATCAAGGGAGTGGACCAGAAGGAAGAAAAAAATGACCAAACAGAAAAGGATGAAGAAACAAGAATTCGAAAAAATGAGGAGAGGCTTAGGAACCTTCAGGACATCTTTAAACATTCCAACATCCGAATTATAGGGATACCAGAAGGAGAAGGGGAACAGCAACAAGTGGAAAACTTATTTGAACAAATAATGAAGGAGAATTTCCCCAATCTGGCAAAGGAAATAGACTTCCAGGAAATCCAGGAAGCTCAGAGAGTCCCAAAGAACTTGGACCCAAGAAGGAACACACCAAGGCACATCATAATTATATTAGCCAAGATTCAAATGAAGGAGAGAATCCTAGAAGCAGCAAGAGATAAGGGGGCAATCACCTACAAAGGAGTTCCCATCAGACTGTCAGCAGATTTCTCAAGAGACCTTACAGGGAAGAAGGGGCTGGAAAGAAGTATTCCAAGTCATGAAACCCAAAGACCTACATCCAAGATTGCTCTATCTAGCAAAGCTTTCATTTAGAATGGAAGGGCAGATTAGATGGTTGATATAGGGCTCTTATGCCATCACCATCATTTTGGGGGATAAAGAGTTTGCATAGCAAAGTAAAGGACAGCAAAGGCCTCATGATGCTATACCTTCAATGAATTAAATTTGTGTTACCCAAGTCATCATTTACAACCTCTTATTTGTTGAATTTATTCTTTTATTAATTGTTGAGTGGCAACCCAGGGCTGAATGTGGCCCATTCTTCCTAGGGGTCAGCCCTGTCCTTAAGGAGCAGGACAAACTTAGCTGACACAAAAGACATTTCCAGTCTAGTGACCTCAGGAAAGAAGAGAAAAAAATCAGAGAAGAGTTTCAGGTCAGAATGAGGTGCCCTACAGTCAGTAAATCCCAGATCAATGCTCACAGTGGATACTCTGATGCTGAAGTTGTCCACATTGATATTCAAAGGGCCTCTCCATGTGAATTTTCTGTGAACTCCAAGGTGGAAATTCCATCTTAGGGTTGAATTCATTACAACAGTAGGGTTGCTCAGTAGCGTGAATGCTCTGATGCAGAGAAACTCTGAACTCCACCTGAAGACCTCCCAGCTCTTTATCAGGTTCACGCACTCTTGGATTCCCCCTCCCCCACTTGGAAGTCAGTGGAATTGAATGTGGATTACAGTCTTACTGTAACTAACTGGCCCTCACCATCCCCACCCACAGCCTGGTTTAGAGAATGCCAGACATAACCAGTAGATCAAAGGCATAGAAGCATTTTGCTCTGTTCTTGATGAATTTTCTGGGTGATATGCCCAGAAGATGTCCCAGGCCTCTGCCACTCCAACACATAACCACCCTTCTTAGCGAAAGGCCTCATGCGACCAACCCTGCTGGCCTCAGCCCTTACCACCTTCGCATCTATCTTCTTAATCCCTCCAGCAGTCTCAGAAGACAGTACCTTCTTCCTTCTTTCTAAAGCCAACCCTGCCTTCCTTATCAAGTTTATCCTTTCACACTGCAACTAAATTAAATTAAAAAAATTAGTTATTAAAAGAGTATCTTAATAGACCTAGCTGGAAGCCCGAAATAACCTAGGCCGAGCTGGAAAGTACCTGCCGACTGGCTATTGACTCCCACCCTGGGGTGGGAAACGGTTTCACAAATTACAAATCACTTGGGGCTGAGACAAAGGCCCAGGTCCTGGGTCATCACACTCAGAACTCGGAAATAGGATTCAGCGGGTGCACCACAACCAGCCCACCCCAGGGCCTTGGGCCTTAACATCCTTACTTCATTGGTCACCAGTAAAACGCGCAGTGGGATCTCAAGTGGCGCGCAGCAGGCGGCCTCCAGGGCCTCAAGTCCCGCCCTGGGGCCAGCAGAGGTTGCGCACGAAAGTGGGGGTCCCAGCTTCCTAGAGCAACCACGGAGACAGTGGCTGGTCCCTCTCTCTCTCTGGGTGGGACTCCTACCTCTCCGTGCTGGAGGCTGAGTGGAGGCCAAAGCTCATTTGGTGACTCCTTGGAGATTGGGCAGGTACTGGCAAAGTTGAGTCCACCAGGTGAAAACACTGCCTGCAAAGCGTGTTACAATCAAGTTTAAAAAATCAGTGTTCTCTCCAGGGTACTGCGGGAGACAGCGGAATTGCAGATGAGTCCCCATGCAAAGCCCCATGCTGGGAGACGACTTGGGGAGGGAGTGAATTCGGTTCCTGTGGCTTATGGAGGGCTCCCAGGCTCTCAAGCAGTTTCCCTCCTTCCCTTCTGTGCACTCTTCCCAGTTCTGAGAGGTCGGGGAGAGGCGGCACGGAGGATCCTCTGCTTGTTGGGATGACCCGAGACTTCTGCTCCGCAGCGCTAACCGCTGCGAGTCCCCACCAGCCTCTCAACGCTTAGCCTGGGGCCCAGAACAAGTCCTATTGCGTCGTAGGTGCTCCACAAGTGGCTGGTGAATGTGCACCCGCCCGCATTATTACCAGAATTGTCCTCGCCCCTCCTCACTGGATTTTACTGGAGCCCCAGCTCCCTTCCCTTTTCAGGGGCTCACCGGGGCAGGTCATTCTCACATAGCTTTATCCTAAAAGCTGAGGGGATGTGGTGAGGTAAAGGTTATTGGGGTTTACTTGGTAATTTTTTTAAGGTGAAAATGTGCTTTTTAGGAATTTGTGAAGGACTACAGGGTCCAAGGATGGGTTTCAGATGACCCATGAATTCTCTGAAACGGCATGCACATTTTTCTAGGCAGAGCTGCCTTGAGTTTCAAAGACCTCTGACCCTGCAACCTTAGGGGCTTGCCTTAGACCCCTTAAAATACTTAGAAAACAGTATTTTAAGTATGTTGGCCAATAATAATAATAACCACCAGCCCAGAAATAAGTAATGGGGACAAAATCTAGTAATAAGTTATTTTAAAAACTGGCCCATCCAAATGATCGGAATATCTTACATGAAGTTGTGAATCATAAACAACTATGCATACATACAAATCAGTAACACGTGTCCTGTTATGAAAGATACAGGCTCTCACCAAGCAGAACAGATCAAGGGCAGAGAGGGGCTTACGCAGAGCCAGCCACTCACAGAGCACACACAACAGGTTGGTAAGGTAAGGGTGAAATGTGCAGGATGGGGACTTAACCAGATAGTAGACAATACCATATTAAGACCATAATGAAACAATGTACTTTGGAATAATAAACATTAGAAATGTATCAAATTAGTAAAATTGCGAAGAAATACTTTACTTATCCAAAGTTAGTACACAGTAAAACTCCTTTATTGGAGAATAAAAACATACACAGACATAGCTGCAAAAGTTCTGAAGGATATTTCTGGGTATTTGGGCAGGTCTTTGAACTTGTGAGACTTTTTTTTAATGGGTCTAAAATTAAGAAAATTCATGTTTTCTCTCTCCCTTGATAGAATTCTACTTGCACAAAGTTATGATCACCCGTCAAAACTACGGTCAGATTTTGACTCCCGAGTAAACTGAGAGGGAAGGAGGCAAACAAGGAAAGCAATCTTCCCAAGGTAACTGGGTGAGGTGGACAAGAGCAGAGAGGTGAAAATTTCACCAGAATTTCTCGTTGTAAGTCTTCTTGAAATAAAATGTGAGACCTGGCCCCCTATGAATATGCTTGGGTACAACACAAGTCGGTCACCAAATTGCCTGATATAATGAATATCCCAAGAAGCAAGTTAACTGAATGACCTTTTCTTGAGCTGGAGGGGAGGGGTTGAGTTGTGGGGGCAGGAACTGAACATCTGACAAGAAAAAAGGCATGAGGCCAGTGAGCTCCGAGATGGAGGACAAAGAGAAAGAACTTCAGTGGCAGTTTGGCCAAGGGACTTCTGAGAAAATGATAGGATGTGAACCCACTTCTACACCTCTTACACAACAGCATCTTCAGGAAGGTCCGTATTACTGATGAGTGTGTTTGTGCGAGGGGATTCTTTTTGGGGAGCTTGAGGCAGTGCTGAGATCCATATCAAGGGCTGGTAAGGGGTAAATGTGGAAATGAATTATGCAAACACAGAAATCAGAAATTACATGGATAGGTGACATCTGTGTTTTATGTGGAATGTATGGCCTGGGTGTAATTAAATGTAAGCTTGAGAGTCACTGCACTCATAATTACCCTACAGAAAGAGGTAAATCAAAGAACTTCTGCTAAGAGTTTGGCTGCTAGAGGCAGAAGTACCTGAAAGGATGTGAAAACTGTAATCAACTGTTTATTTGCTCAGTCCTTTTCTCAAGCCAAGGGTGTGAACCTGGGAGATCATCTACTGGGGGACAGAATAAACCCACTTGGTGGGTTTGGGCTGTGACCAGTTTTTTCCCCAAGCACATGATGTAAATCCATTATTTTCAAATTCATGTAGCAATTACTAATATAAAATGTGCGAATGATTTCAAATAAGGCAGTAATGAATCCACCTAGCCCCAGCACAGCATAGTAGTTAAGAGCACAGATTAGGGCTGCAGTTCGGGCTCTAGCACTTACCAGCTGTGTGATAGTGGATAAGTTACTTAACATCCCTTCCTGCCCCTCCTCATCTTTATAATCACTGATAATTGTGCAACTGTAAATCAACTAAAAAGCTTTCAACACTTAGAACAAGTGAATTTTATGGTGTGTAAAATATACTCAATAAAGCTGTTTTTAAAAACAGTATCTAGATCAGAGAGATGCTGTAAAAATAAAAATGTAAACTGTCTGGCACTGTGCCTGGCACATAGTAAACACTCATAAATACTAGTGCTTAATATTAGTATAATAAAGAAGAGATTAAAGAATAGAACACTAAAGGTATATAAAGTTAGATTTTTAAAAGAATCAAAGAACTACTGGGTTGGTTGAAATTTCAGAGATCACTTAGTTCAACTCCCCTCATTTTACAGTTGAGAAAATTAGGGACCAGCAGGTGAAGTGCTTTAATTTAAGGTCTAGTTCTAAAACCAGACCTAAGCCTGCTGGATCCCCTTCAGTGCAATTCCCACTCCCTCCCACTGCCTCAGAAACATGGACACATGAAAAATTGAGGATGTTTCCTCAAAGAAGAAAAACATAGAACACAGAAAATTCATGTAAAAATGAAGAAAGAGGATCCCAAGGCCAAGGGCAACCTGTGAAGAGGCCATGACATCCTGGCCTATTAGTCCAGTAGGATCCAGGTCATGAAAACATTAAGTGCTTTGGCAAGGAGGCCCCTGGTCAGCCAGATGACCTGGCTCATCACTGTGGCAGGTGCCTGGTGACGGTGAAGCTGCACAGTCCTGTACGCTACTTCCTGACACAGGATCTGTCAGCAGCAGCAGGAACTGGAGCCAAAAGTAAATGCAGTAGAGTTCTTGGGAGCAGTCAGTCTGAGCAGCCCAAAGCATGAAATAGCTCCTAAATGGCTGTTTTTGCCCGAGTAGTCTGGCCGCACATGTTTATCATCCCCTGGCCTTGTTCATCAGTCCCTCTAGATTCTGAGTGCCTTTACTTATGATCCTGTAAGTTGGCTGTCAGTTTCCTTCATTGTGGCACCCTCTTCTGGCAGGAGATATGAAATGACCCAGAGATTTCCACTTCATTAGTGCTGCCATCTTCTAAGGGAACTTGATAGCATGTCTGAAAAATTTTGAAGCTCATAAAAGCTTACTGTATTATTCCAAAGTTAAATGTTGGACAGGAGAACAAGGTTTGTCTTCTAGGCCAAGGCTTTCCAAGATTCCAGGGGATAACATTCAATGAGTCAACTCTCATTCTTAGGATGGGGTAGAATCACATTCCTCCATTTTTCTTGAAGAGTAACAATTTAGACTAGATGGCTGGTACACAGGCCCCTAATGGTAGGTGACCCACTAGGGGAAGATGGGGGGAAAAAAGAAACAGAGGAGAATTAAGGCCTGAAACAGCTTTTATGATTTAACTCAGTACATTAAAACTTCTGTGAATAATTTATAAAAGTGCCTCATCCTATATGACCAACTGTTTAAATAAAAATCAGTAGAAAGACAGAGGAGGTTGTGTCCATTCATTTGATCTGAGAACTTGGGATGTAGCTTATGATTAAGTCTGACTTCAGCTTTTCCACAGAAAGCTTTCCTATTTTGTAAATCACTCCATACAATGAACACTTTGATGTCGAAGGAGGTGAGAACTCCGACTAAAGGTCTTCTGGCATTCTTGGCACTCGTAAGGCTTCTCTCCGGTGTGAATTCTCTGATGTATGATAAGTTGAGAATGCTGGCTGAATGTTTTCTCACACTCATTACATTCATAAGGTTTCTCACCAATGTGAATTTTTTGGTGGAGAAGAAGCTCAGAGTTATCCCAGAAGGTTCTTGCACATTCATTACACTGATGAGGTTTCTCTCCAGTATGAATTCTCTGGTGGACAATAAGATGGGAGGTCCGCCTAAAAGCCTTTCCACACTCAAAGCATTCATAGGGTTTCTCTCCAGTGTGAATTCTCTCATGCCTAAGAAGTTCTGAGTTCCCCCTAAAGGCCTTTCCACATTCCTTACATACATAGGGTTTCTCACCAGTATGAATTCTAATATGTCTAATAATCTCTGAGTTCTGGCCAAAAGTTTTTCCACATTCATTGCATTCATATGGTTTGTCCCCTGTATGAATTCTTTGATGCCGGATAAGCTCAGAACTCTGACCAAAGCCTTTCCCACATTCGTTACACAGATATGGTTTTTCTCCAGTATGAATTTTCTGGTGTCTGATAAGGCCTGAGCTATGCTTGAAGGCTTTGCCACACTCATTGCATTCATGATATCTTTCTTCAGTATGAATTCTCTGATGCTGAATAAGCTGTGAGCTAACCCTAAAGGTCTTCCCACATTCATTACATTCATATGGTTTCTCTCCTGTGTGGATTCTCTGATGTAGAATAAGGGCTGAATTCTGACTGAAGGCTTTTCCGCATTCTTCACATTTATAAGGTCTCTCTCCAGTATGAATTCTATGATGGTGGATAAGATGTGAACTCTGAATGAAGGCCTTTCCACATTCATTACAAGCAAAAGGTTTCTCTCCTGCATGAATTCTCAGATGCCTGCGAAGACTTGAGTTCGTTCCAAATGTTTTGCCACATTCTTTGCATTCAAAGGGTTTCTCTCCACTATGAACTCTCATATGCTGGATAAGATGTGAATTTTGATTAAAGGCTTTCCCACATTCTTTACATGTATGAGGTTTTTCTCCCACAGAACTTTTCTGTGTTTTGTTAGGTTCTAAATTCTCTATGATGTTTTGGCCAGAGGTAGCAAATGCCTCTGCTGTAATGTCTCCCTGATGTGTAATCAGTTTTGGGCTGGGACTGCATTCTCTCACACTCTCATTCTCTTGGTCTTTCTCAATTGAGGGTGATTTCTTAAAGACAATCAACCCTGATGCAAAGTCTCTCTCCTGAGGAGACATCTGCTCTATAATCTCTTCTGTGGACTCTCCTGAATGCCCCTCCAACAAGTCTTCTTCACATGAGGGTCCAAACTCATGACCCTCATAAACTACCTTTGGCAGTTTTTCTATTGCCCCATGTAGCTCAGACTCTTCAGAAATTTCTTCCTTGGGAATTATCTCCTTGTTCTCAGTCCCCATCTCACAATCTGAAATGAGAGAAAGTATGTGAAGTGACTATCATACCTAAATGAAGCTATTGCTAGAAGAGTATGGAACTCTGACATGCTCTGACAGCTCTCAAAAGTAGTCTTGGTATCTGCTGCAATGATAGAATGCTGCTGAAGAGAAGAAAGATATTTAGAATTATGATGGACATGCCAGACAAACAGCAAATGCTGAGTGAAAACAGTGAGAAAAATGATTAGAGGAAGAGAGTTAAGGAGAGAAACAACTGAAGGTAAGGAGATGCTGATAAAAGTTCCATAGTATTAACAGTGAGTTAGGGCAGAACCTGAGGTTTGGTAAGAAAAACATTTAGGGAAAATGGTGGCCATATTAATATATGGTACACGGAAAAGTCTGAGAGATGGGGCAAAAAATGACTAATATAAACAAGTTTTGGATTTATAGAAAAAGTAATAAAAAATGAGTAGCAAGAGGAACTATCCTGAGTCCAGTCCTCTGGTGCTTGCCAGCTCTACAGAACAGGGGAATATATATATATATATCTCCATTCAAAAGTTAACTTAAGTTAGCTGTAACTAGCACAGAAGTAACTATCTTTGCTCTCTTTATATATAATTGGATGAAGTAAGGTTCTGGCTTAGTTTTCTCCAGACAGTTAGTAAATTGTATAAATAACTACTTTCTTTTCTCTATGATTTGAAATGCCATCTACATCATAATCTAAAGAACCATATATATGGACTTCCGCCAAGATGGAGGCATAGGTGGATGTGCCGTGCCTTCTCCCACAACCAAGATTAGAGAAAACTAAATATTAGCAACAGAAAACACAGCCAGAACACGGAAAATTGAACTTTTCGGAAGTCCGTTAACAACAAATTCTTCAGCCTGACCGGTAAGGGGCGAAACCAGCGGCTGGCGGAGCAGGGTTGCACAGGAGGACTCGGCCAGACACACTCAGGCCCGCGGAATCCAGGCGCAGGGTCAGACCTAGTGAGCGACCCAGCGAGCAACCAGGCGAGCGACCTCGGGGGAGACAGCCAGGCCCGGGGCTGCGTGTTGACTGAGGTCGCGCATTTGTGCGAGGGTGGACAGGCGAGGGAGTGGGCGGTTGGACCGGGCCGGCAGGTCCCCACGGCAAGCGGCAGTGGAGGGCGCCGCCATTTCCCTGCTCTGACCCCACCTCCACATACAGCGTCATAACCCAGCGACTCTGAGTGGCCCGGCCCAGGTGAACCACCTAAGGCACTGCTCCTCCACACCCAGCTGTGAGAAGCGGCAGAGGGGGTCGCCATTTCCCCGCTCTGGCCACGCCCCCCACATACAGCGTCACAACCCAGCGACCTGGGAATCCAAGCCGACGCTTCTCACACTTAAAGGGCCCGAACAGACCAAGAATGGCGCAGGAGGATCTCAGAGCCCCAGAAATAAATCTAAGCGATGAAGAAATAGCAAAACTCACAGACGCACAGTTTAAAAAATTGGTGATCAGGATCCTCACAGAACTGGTTGATTATACGGACAAATTAGACAAATATATGAAGGCGAAACTCATTGAAATGAATGGAATTGCACAGGACACCAATAGCAATGAAAAGGAAACTGGGACTCAAATCAATGGAGTGGACCAGAAGAAAGCAAATAATGGCCAAACAGAAAAGAGTCAAGAAGCAAGAATTCAAAGAAATGAGGAGAGTCTTAGGAACCTCCAGGACATCTTTAAACGCTCCAACATCCGAATTATAGGGGTACCAGAAGGGGGAAAGGCACAGCCACCAGTGGAAAACTTATTTGAACAAATAATAAAGGAGAATTTCCCCAATCTGGCAAAGGAAATAGACTTCCAGGAAATCCAGGAAGCTCAGAGAGTACCAAAAAAGTTGGACCCAAGAAGGAACACACCAAGGCACATCGTAATTACATTAGCCAAGATTAAAATGAAGGAGAGAATCCTAGAAGCAACAAGAGCTAAGGGGACAGTCACCTACAAAGGAGTCCCCATCAGACTGTCAGCGGATTTCTCAAAAGAGACCTTACAGGCAAGAAGGGGCTGGAAAGAGGTATTCCAAGTCATGAAATCTAAAGACCTACAACCAAGATTGCTCTATCCAGCAAAACTTTCATTTAAAATGGAAGGACAGATAAGGTGCTTCTCAGATAAGATCAAATTCAAGGAGTTCATCATCACCAAGCCCTTATTATATGAAATGTTAAAGGGACTTATCTAAGAAAAAGAAGTTAAAGAAACGTGAACAGTGAAAGGACAACAAACTCACAGTTATTAACGACCACACCTAAAACGAAAGAAAAACTAAAAGGACAGCTAGATCAGGAGTGGAAACATAGAAATGAAGATCTCAAGGAGGGTTAGCAACAGGGGAGTGGGAGGAGGAGAAGGGGGGAGAAGGTACAGAAAATAAGTAGCATAGACAGTAGATAGAAAATAGATGGGGGGGCAAGAATAGCATGGGAAATATAGAATCTAAAGGACTTGAGACACATGGTCATAAACTAAAGGGGGGGTGATGGTGGGGATGGGGGGTAGGGTGGAGGGGAATAAAGGGGGAATAGAACAACTGTAACAGCATAATCAATAAAAAATATTAAAAAAAAAGAACCATATATATTTGGTTAATTTCTAGGTCAATTTTCAGACTTCATTCAGTTCTGTTAATCTGTTTATTCCCTGTCTAATACCAAACTGTTCAATTTACTATAGTTTTGTTAAAAATTTTAATGTTAGAGAAAGTTCATTCTCATTAGTCTTTTTTTCACATATTTCTTATTTTTATATTTTTCTAAATAAATTTTAGCATAATTTTGCAAAATATCTTAACATCCTGATGTTTTGTACCCATCATGTCTCTTTATGAATTTTCTTTTAGTACATTTTTGGCATATTTTCTAACTGGTTTTATTTACATACATAGCAGTGCTATTGACTTTTACATACTAATTTTGTAATTGGTGCCTTTATAGAAGCTTTTTAGTATTTTTATAGATCTACAGTCTATGCTTTTTTTTTAACTTCTAAAATGCTGTGCCAAAGATTTTTAGTTATTATCCCAAATCTATTCTTCCATACCTCATCGGCAACAGAATAATGATTTTTTTTAGTGTAGCAATAAGCCTAGCTAAAGAAATAAATTCTCAGACTTCTTCACAGCTAGGTATTGACATGTGACCAACTTCTGGCCAACAAGACAGTAAGATGCAAATGAAAAAACACAGAACATATGGGAAGTCTCTTTCAGGGTGAAGGGATGTACTCCTTCACCCTTTTCTTCCATGCTGTGCCTGGGGTGTGAACTAGTAGTAGTTGGAGTGCCATCTTGAACCATGAGTACACTGGCACACCCTATGCCAGTGTACATACACAGAATCAGAGCTGAAAGGAACTGGGGTCTCTGACAAGTCCATGGAGCTGCCATAGCAGCCCTGGTATGCCTGCCTCTGGAGTTCTTTTATTTAAGAAATAAGCTTTGCCTTGTTTGAACCATTAGTTGTTGTTTTTGGTTTGGGGGTGTGTTTTTTTTTGTGGGAATGAGGTGTTTGTTTGTTTGTTTGTTTGTTTGTTTGTTTGTTTTAAATGAAGCAAACCTATTCCAAACTGGTACAATGGCCCCAGAAATTTAGCTGTCCCAGTCACAAAAATCCAAATGATGAGAGAATAAGTCTGGCCTCTGTTCAGGTAGTAAGCAACCTGGAGCTAATATTAAGGAGGCTTTTTGCCTAAGCAAGTGCATTTTTGTACCATGGCAAATCTGAGGAGTATAATCCTCTCATCAGTAAAAGTATTAACTGTAGAAGGTAATTCTCAAGGGGGGTAGGTAACTATGAGGCTTTATTCTTTAGAAAATGCAGTGTTACGGGATGGCTTTTAAGCCAAGGAGTGACACAGTCCATTGTCAGACTAGCATTTCAGATAGATGCACAGTAGTGGCCATTTAGTGGCTAAACTATAAAGTAGTATGCCAAGACATAGGAAGATCAGTTAGGCTGATGCAGTCATCAAGGTAAAGAGTCATTAAATCTAACCATGGCAACTGTAGTGGTGAATGAAAAGGACACATGCTGGAGAAATATTTAAGAGGACAAATTCTGTAAGATTTGGTGTGTGAGGAATAGGGATGAGTCCAAGATGATGCCAGATCTCCCTTTATTTAAGGAATGGTAATTAGATGGACAGTGGTACCACTGAGATTGGTAATACTGGAGGAGCAGCTAGTTTAGAAAGGAAGATAATAGATGGGCTCTGTTTTGGACTATATGAATTTCAAAATATCCATATAGTGGTATCAAGGAATCAATCAAAACATATTAGTCTAAAATTTAGAAGAGTCAGGACTAGAAACATAGACTTGAGAGTACTTAGCATAAATAGTATGAGCATAGTATGATAATTGTCAGATATACTGAAGACAGAAATCTAAAAAGCCAAAGCTAACATTTAAGGGTACTCCAATTATCTCCCATCTTCCTCTCCAGATCTTTCTACCTTTCTCCACCCTGCTCTCTGCCCCAGATGGCTACCCTATACAGCATATATCAACAGGCCATCTGGCTTCTAGTTGGGTTCCATCAATAGGGAGGCCCAGCAGGAAGCTGGAAGTAGGAACAATAGTAAGGTCAGGATATTTACTCTCCTAGTTCCTATGCGATCACCTTGGGCTCATGGTCTCCCTCAATGGTAGGTCATTACTCCTCTCTAGGAGTCTATCCTACTGAAATGTCTAAACAACTGGGTTCTCCATTAATATCCTTCTCCAGAGATAGGAGAGCCTATCTCTGGTCTCTTATGACCACTCAACTGTTGCCTCAATGCCCTGCCCACACATATATCATTTATAATTAACCTATTTGCAAATAAACCCTCCTAAAATTATTCCAATTTTAGTCAAGTATCTGTTTCCTCTTAGGATCCTAATGATAAAAGGGTAGGTAGAGGAAGAGAAGCCCACCAAAAAGAGAAAAACTGGTTAATGAAGTAAGAGAAGAACCAGAATACAACATCAGGAAGAATTAAAAAGTGTCATACACATTGAAATATCCAGTCAAATAAGAATGGGAAAACCTCTACTGGCACAATTAGATAGTTACAGATGATCTGTGAGAACAGATGCAGTAGAATGACAAAACAGAAGCCAGTGACAGTGGACTGATTAGTAAATTTGCTGCTGCTTTAAATAATTTTTGGATGAAAGGAGAGGACCAAGATGGGCAGTACCACTAAAGGTCAAAGAAGAATTTTCTATGGAGGGAAAAACTTGAACATGTTTATATTAGAAGTGATAGTGCCAGTAGAGAAATAGGGGTTAAAAGGGAAAAGATGAGATTACTGAAGAAATGAAGACCCTGAGAGGCAGGAGACACTGGAGTCAAGTGCTGAGGGAAAGGAAAAGTGGTGATTTTGGGGTGACCTTAGGACTGCCCTTCTTTCTCTGCCCAGCCACTCAGTTATCCACAGGGTGGTAGTACTACCACCTTCTGACCCTGGGGCCTTCCTAGTCACTCATCAGTGCAGCCCTAATAACAGCCCCGACAAACCCCCACCTCCAGCACCTGTTTGGAACTTGATCTCCTACTGGAGTCCTGAAGCCTTGGAAGCTCTTTGTGCTACCCCTCAAAATAACATGGAATCTTCATCAACTTTCCCTGCCATGGCATCTTCTCTCATTTTTCCATGGAGTAAGGGGTGAGCACCCAAAAGCAGGATTTCTCCTTTTGGTTGAAATTTTTGAAAATATAGACAATATGTATCCATGTAATTGTAAGGATCCATTGTAGAGAATTTAGCTATCTTCTTCATCCATGTTACCATCTGAGGTACTGTCTTAAATAAATTTCTCTCTAATAGTCAAGAACAAGTCCCACCAGCTGGTATTTCAGTCCCTATCTACTTCCAGCCCTCTCTCTGGCCTTTCCTTTTCACCCTCATCTCTCCCATAGTTACTTTTTTTCTATTATCTAGCTCTTTACAAAGTCATCATTCATAGAACCTAAATCTGTACCACACCGCATGAAAAAAATCACTTGTCCACAGTAGAACAAGATAAAGATATGAAAGTTAGGTATGTACCTATCCCCAGCTTCAAAATCTGGTTCAAAAATTCAAATCCAAAAAGTATTCCCTAACTAAATTTGACCCTGTCTGACCATTCTTTTGCTTTGCAGTCTACCAGTGACACAATATTAACATTATTTATTAAATGGTGCTTTATGGAGGGACCTTCTCATATACAAATCAAAGCCAATCTCCAGTTGGTTGATTTTCCAAGAGGCACAGCCACATATTAAACCTCATCCTAATATGGAAACACTCCATACTACTCATAGCATAAATTTACATTTCCAAATATAATTTCCTATCTTTCTGCTTCTCACTTCCATACTTTTCTACAATGAAATTAACTCTTTTTGGAGAGAAATGAGATGGAGGTGCCACTGGAGGAGTAAGTTGACCACTCTTAGTCCTCAGTCTGGGGAATGACAAGGAGACCTCTACTGGATCTCCACAGTTCAGCATAGGGTCTTCAACTCTGCAGACCTGGATTTGTTTTTCTCAATGCACCTGAGAGTAGGCTCAGAAAGCCTCATTCACAAAATACTGAGGCATAAACCAGATACCCATCTGTTAATTAACAATGAGAAATAAAACTTTAAAAGATGAAAATCTACAATGAGAAGCCACATAAAACACTGACAATTGCCCTAGCTGGTGTGGCTCAGTGGATTGAATGCTGGCCTGAGAAACAAAAGGTTGCAGTTCAATTCCCAGTATAGAGCACATGACTGGGTTGCAGGCAAAGTCCCTGGTGGGGGGAATGTGAGATACAACCACTCATTGATGTTTCTCTCCCTCTTTCTTCCTCCCTTCCCCTCTCTAAGCATATATAAATAAATAAAATCTTTAAAATAAACAATGAAAATCATTTCATAGGCTTGAAATCCAGTGAAATTTTTAAAAAACATTTACTTATTTTTAGAGAGAAGGGACAAGAGAGAGAAAAACAGGGAGAGAAACATCAATGTGTTTGATGTTTCAAACACGCTGCCTCTCACGTGCCCCTCATGGGAGACCTGGCCTGCAACCCAAGCATTTGCCCTGACTGCGAATCTAACCAGTGACCCTTTTGTTCATAGGCCAGCCCTCAATCCACTGAGCCACACCAGCTAGGGCAAGATTTTTTTTTAATGGCTTAAATGATTGTTTGCCTGAAACTAGTCTAGATTCCTAAAAATCAAGTGGGAAATTTGTTCAAATATACTAATTTCCCACCTCAGAACTCTCAGAATCAGAATTTCCAGGGGTACCCAAGGGGTCTGTATTTTTAACAAGTGCCCCAGGTGATTTTGATGCCCCACGAGGTTTGAAAACCACTGTGTTAGAAAGTGTTAATTAACAAATGAATTTATCCCACTCTTGGTCTGGTGCTTCCATCCCAACCCAAGGTCTTGTCTACCAAATAGCTGAACACGTGTGTAAAGCAGCATTATCATAGATATATGGCCAATTCTCGCTCTTTCTTCCTACCCTCCACTGTAACTGCTCCTACCCTTCCCTAAACTTCTGAAGACAGGGAAGATATAATACAATTAACTAGATCCCCTTTTCTGAGTTAAAAATCACATTCCTCTTAAGCTTATCAAACTGACCCTAGCTGGATACTGTGACTGGACCTGAGTTTGCCCAAACTGCCTAAGTCAGAGTTTACAATATTCTCTTGTGATAGTAGTATCACTTACTCCTTTGAACTTACCTGCCAAAAGTCACACTGTAATTCGCAGTAAAAAACAAACAAACAAATAAATAACCTATCAGCCTGCCGTCTGATTTGTCTTCTGAAACTTTTGTTGAAAGCATATACTGCTACTTAAAATACAAAAGGTCCAGGAATCATTTACTTCCTCAGCAAACTCTGCTTTTGTGTGGTACTCCAGAGATTTGTCTACGCCAGAGTTACAATACACCACAATAAAATCAGAAGGCCATGGGTGAGATATATATCCTTCTTTTATAGAGAAGGAAAAAAGAAAGCTATATACCACAAGCCCATTTTCAAGTAGATTGGTGGTAAGCAAGGGTAAATATTTAAGTCAAGGACCTAGAAACTGATCCCCGTTCAATAATCCATGTGCCCACAGACATTACAGAAAGGATTTGTGTACCCCCTCCATGTATTTCAGTTCTAAGACCACTGCACAACAGCACATGAGGCAAAGCCTCAGAAGCCAGGAAATACAGGAGAAATAAAGGAACAGAAAGAACATTCTAACCTCAATGTAGTATGTGCAGAGTTGGGTTAGATAAAGAAGTGAGGATGCATTGACCTTTTAATGTGGAGAGTAATGATGAGCACTTACTTACTATGTACTGTGTGCTAAGCAATTTATAGACAATAGCTTGTTAAAACCTCACAACCTCCTGATGAGGCAAGTATGCTAGAGGGCATCATAGTGAGGAGGAATCCATCAGCATGTTTTCCTGTCTTTCTCCAGCAACACTTCAGATGGCCCAGAGCAGGCTGGGAACCAGAATATGCACAGTGGAAGAATGAAGGAGTGAGGGGCTTGAGGATACTAGCCAGGACATAGTTGAGATGACTGAGACAAATGAAGCGGGGGAAGCAGGGAGGAGTAGGATGCTAATAGATGGAGGTTGCAGAGAAGGTGAAGAATGTGGTAAGCACAAGGAACCAAGGGCAGGTGTCCAGGAAACTGACATGAGGTTTAATATTGAAATGTCAAAATTTATAATATACCAAAAGTAATATCCTTTGCAACTATTCAAATTTATGACAAAAAGATTATATATTTTGGACATCAACTTACAAATATTGTAAGGGGATACAAAGCTTTTCAAATTATTTTATGGGGTATTTGAGGAAAAAGTATGCAGTGGCCTTGCTCTCAGAGCTCCAGGAGTGAACCCCAACTGAGTTAACCCAGTCAAATTAAAGCCATCCCCCTTGCAAGTGACTGTCCAAAACAGCAGGGATTGGTTCAGAGATGGACATATGCCTTCCTCTGGCTCAATAATAGCCTGAGAAAGTTTGCTGGGAGATTATGAGAACAGTTTCCTGCCATCCTGAGAGAAGTCACAGGAAGAGAAGTCTATGTATGGTTGCCTGCAACTGCTGCTACCATTTCACTCCCACGTTGTGGATGGAGGGAGGTAGAGCTCAGAAAATTGAGGGGAAATGGAGCCAGGGTCAAAAGATTAAATGTCCTGAAACCTCTTTACCTGTTGTTTTCCAATTATGAGAGCTTATACCTCACATTAAGCCAGCTTAATTCGAGTAGTAGTCTTACTTGCAGACAATAGCATTTTAACTGATATAAATACTCTCCCTTAACTTCTGAAAGGGCAGATATTAGTATATCTAGTCTAAGAATCACCTCCTCCCCAAAGTCTTCACTAACACCTCCAGAAAGGTAGTTCTCTCTTGGTCCTCTGAACAGCATTTCACTCACCTCTTTTTTTGTACTAGAGTTACCATGTCTCTTCCTGTTCATTGCTTCCCAAGACCTACAGAATAAAAACTTAACATGGCTCATAATGTCCTCTGGGTCAGTCTCCTATCTCCCTCTTCATCTCCTGTCCCGTGCCCTCCAATGACATTTGAAAGCTGTAGCCATGCTTTGGGCCCTGCAGAGCAAACACATCCTATTCTAGAAAGCTTATTTGCCTTTGCAAACAGGTTATTCCCACTGCCTGCCCGCCTTGTACACTTAACATCTACGGGACTCAGCTCCAGCACAGAAAGTCCCTTCTGTTTTCTTCCCCTTCCCTGCCCCTAATACTACTTGATTTTGTTGCAGTTACCTCATTGTATTACTAGTCCATTTTCGTGTATGCTTTCTTCTTTATAACATGAGCAGGAATGATGTTTTTCATCTCGGTATTTCCAGTGCCTAGCACATTTCAGGTACCTGGCAAATATTTGTTACATGACTGTGTAAATGTCTTACCTACATAATATTTAATTCATTCTGTATCTAAAGAGCCTAAAATGATGTCTGATACATAGCTGATCAAAATAACCATTTGTGAAAATAACTTCCTTTTCCCAATCGGGATGACATTTAATTTAAAGCACTATTATCCTTTCCGCTGTCCACTTGGCCCCCACAGTCAAGGCTCGATTACCTGTCTCCTTTCCAATACTAATCCTCAAAAGCCAAAAGCCTGTCTGCCAGCATAAGGCACAATATGCCAAGGGCGCCTTAGGTTTTTGACACTGCCCTGCCATTCTGGCCCCGCTGTTTGCTTGGGGATGGTATGTCAGAAAACCATAACTCCCAATGGCCCCCACCTCAGGACCGAAAAAGGGGGTGCCCCTGCTTCTTCCGCGCTGGCGGCTGACAGGCATGGAACCACAGTGGGGATGGACCCTGCCAGGGTCCAGGCCCCACAGCTTCAGTGTGCAGGTGGGAAATGAAGGCCGGAGCTGACCATAAAGTCCAAGGTCACACCAGGTCAGGAACCGGACTAAATGTTGGGTTTCCGCTCGGCTTAAGGACCGGAAAGTCGGGAGCCTAGAGCCCTCCTCCCTCCCGCGGAACAGAATAAGATCTCACCGCAGGCCGCTACCGCCCCACGGTTGCTCCACTCGGGCTCCCGCGGCTGCTCAGCCCGCTTGCACCGAACCCGCAGCTGTTGCTTGGTTTCACTGACGACACCTCGGCTACTTCCGGTACCGCTGCACTCCAGCCAATCTGCGTGCGTCCACTTCGCTAGAGGAACAGGTGGTTCGCATGCCCACACCACCTCCCCTTTCCCAGCGTTTCTTTATGTGGGTCCACTCCTTACCTGAGCACCCTCTCACTGTTACCTGCCGAAGCTGCTCCCTGGAGTGGCCCTGTGAATCGGCCAAGGCCCACTTCAGCCCCAGGATCACTAACGAGCTGAGTCCTCCGGGTTTCCTAGAACGGCTCCAGGGATGCACTTCCGCCCTTTGACCGGCCGCTTGGCGCAGTGGTATTGCTCATTGAGCATTGACCTGGGCTTGAAAAATTGGGAGTGGGTTTCACTTCTTCGCGGGGCAGAGATTGCGGGGTCTTCTTAACACCCCCAACCTGCATCTCTTATCCTACCACTGCCTTTTCTGAGCTCCATTAGTCTGGTAAACACACACGCCTGGATCCCAGGAATAAGCTGGGCAGGAAGGGAGACCTGTTCTGAGGCCATGGAAGGCTTACTGGAGGAAGGGAGTGAAGTTTGGGCTAAATTCTGAAGGTTGAATGGGAATTACCCAGAGTGAGGGGAAGACGAGCAGTTCAGACAATGGGAACAGCATTCTACACTAGCCTTTTTACCTCTTGAACAAGTGTGGCGCTTCTCACCTCAGGCTGTTTGTACTTGTTACTTCCTCTTGTTATTGGTCTCAGTTCAAAGGTAAACTAGTTGGAGAAGCCTTCTATCCTACCTAAAGTTGCCTCAAACTACACTACCCCTTCCAAATACTGATTACAGAAAAGGATTATTATTGGCTCTGTTTGGGTCTGGTGCTGCCCCTGAACCAATCATTGTATTCAGGGGAAAGGGACAGTAGGATGAACCAAATCTGGGTTACATTCTACCCCAGTCTGTGGGGGCGGGCTTCTGTGTTTGCCTCACCATAAAGGGTGACTATTCTCAGAAAGGAATATTGTGTATATACATCCAGTACACAACCTAGCAGAAAAGAAAACTTTATCTTGAGTTCACCACTGAGGTAAACTCAAGGCCCTAAACTCTAAGGTCCATCACTTTAGCCACTCTCCCACCAATATCTTTAACTCTAGCCCTAATGTCTGTAACTTCCCAAGAAGTTTGATAACCCCAAATCAGTTGAAATATCCATTTTCCTTGTCCAGGCTGTTAATAACTAGTGGGAAAATTTTTACACTTTGAAGATGAGCCCCAAGATAAATGTATGATTTCCACTCTCCAGAAATAATTTTCTGTTTCCCTAGTCAGCTTGCCTGCCATTTTCCATGATTGCTATTTCAACCTTCTCCATCTGCTCAAGCCACGATCCTGATCCAAGAGGAGTCAATACCATCACAATAGCCAGCTATATTTATCCCAAGCCCAGACTACAAAAATATCTTGCTTCAGAACCAAGGGTGAGGGACATTTGGTTCTACTAGGTACTTTTACCTAGTGTACATACATTAATGGGCATCTGCCTCAAGAGCCTAGATCAGTGATTCTCAAACTTGGCTGCATGTTGGAATCCCCTAAGGATCTTTAAAATGTTGATATCTAGTGCCACCTATATAAATTCTGTTGCAAATTATCTCAGATATAGTCTGGGAAAGTTGTTTGTTTGTTTGTTGAGAGGGAGTGTTTGTTTTTGGAGTGCATGTGTTTTTAGCCTTCTAAGTGATTCGAACATACAGCTAACAAGGTTGAAAACCAAAGGCCTAGGTCAGTGATTCTCAAAATGTGGTCTCTGAATCAGAAACTTGGGGGTTGGGGCTTAACAATCTGCGTTTAAGAAGGCCTTCAGGGGTTCCGATGCACAGTAAAGTTTGGGTATGACTGGCCCTGATATTGACAGTGCTTCACGTGATCAGTCCCTGTATGTGAGTTAGACAAGAAAAGGGTAAGTTGTATCTTCCCAGCTACTCCCCTGCCCACCTGCTTTATTATCTGGGCCGATTTAGGGGCCATGTGGAGCAATGGGAATCTACTGAGGGAAGAGGACTAAGGCTTATGATCCACAAGTACCATTCCCATTTCCAGTGTGTAGGTGGATATCTAAGACTGGGTAGGGGCTGATGTTTCACAGTCTCCTGATAGGCTCAAGACTTTCATTGAATTGATTTTTATAGGTAAGTATAGGAAGTTTTGCTCCTCTTGAAAAAAAATGGCAGGTAGGAACCTTGCCTGCCCTGTTCAATTCACACACATTACAGGCACATGAAAAATAAAATACATACTCTTCATGTTCACCCTGGTCCCTTCTATCTTTGGAACACATGGGAAGGAGGACTACCAGCACTATCTACACTCATTTCTAATACTTTAAATCACATTATCTCTCTCGTTAGTTTACAACTGTTGGGAGCCTGGTGCTGATTGTAATTATATTTTCATTTGTCTATGGACCACATTCCAAGCTATCACCAAACCATAAATAACAGAACTCAATGTCATCGTAGATGGCATGTAAGTGTAAGCCATTGTTAGAATTCTGGAAGAAATTACCATAGTCAGCCCCCTTGAAAATCTTTACGTCTTTTAAAACCCCTTCTCTCACAGGTGCAGGTCCTTGAATAAAGTCATTTTGTTCAACATCATTTTGTTGTGACATTGTTGAGATGCTATAGGAACTTAACTCTCGTTTATGTCAATTAGCCTGTGGTAACACTGGTTTTGTTATATGTCGTTTCACTTCAAGTCACAGAACCTGTCAACAATGGTAAGTGAGGACCAGCTGTATAACTCTGGGCCAGCGTATGATTTAACACTAGGACACAGGCTGGGATAGCTTCCTCTTCCTGTGAACTGCTCTCCTCCCACCTTCACATATCCACTTTTTAGATCACCGTCCTTGATCTTATTTTCTTGATCCTGCCTTCCTTCTCTTCTTTCGACCAGCCAAACTTACACACCTGAAGTTTCACTCAGCATGACAAAAATGCATCTTGCCTTTGTTAACCATTTCCTATGAACACAGCTTTACCTTAGATAGGAAGAGTGTTCCTTGAGAAACAAGACTATGTACATGTCCCTGAGAAGCACTAGCCCTGCTGGGTCCGTATTCAGTAGAACCCGGCTGACCTGAAATCCTTATATCTCACCTCGGCACACAACCAGTTAAGCAGAATCAAGGTTCAATGAAGTTTTCAGGGTTCCCCTCACACCTCCATCAATGCAGAAGAAAAAGGTGAAACAGAAAGTCGACCACCTTCTCCAGAGTTAACAATTATACCAAGGAATCCAGAAGACCAATTCTGAGCCTGACCTAGCAAGATCATGTTTTCACTGTTCCAGGATAGCAGATCCTTCTTGGACAAGTTCTTTAAGTGTAAAAGATGCCTTTCAGGGTCCACATCTCTCAGATGAAACTATGGCCCCTTTCACATAGGATAAAATGCAACAACACCGGAAACCTCAGCTTCCTAATAACTGTTCTATGTTTTGGTGTCAGGTGCAGAGGCAGAGAAGAGAATGTTGCCCTGGTGCAAGGGTAAGTGCTCAGCTTTGAGAAAGGAAGCTGGAAGTGGTAGAAGGTGTTGCGCTGGAAATAACAGCAGAGTATACAAGGGAGCAAGTGATCCAAAAGCAAAGCAGAAGACAGTGTACTGCAGAATATGAGGCTCCTTACCAGGGTTCTGGAGTCTTCACAAAGTCATCAAAATAATTGGAACACTTGCTACCAGGTCTAAGACATCACTGAGCCACAACCATGCCCCTGACCACTGAGCCCCAAGTCCAGGCAACTGCCACTAATTAGTCTGAATTTGTATTTGAGTAGAAATTATTTTCCCTGCCAGGGAAAATATCCTGCATGATTATTTCTGAGGCTGTTTTTTAGAGAAAATAACATGGGAGGAAAATCAAGTACCAGTGTCTCTCACCATCACAGGGACATAAATTCCCAATGTGACTAGAGAACCATGACACTGCCAGAATGATTCTTAATTCTGTTCTCATGGTGTCATTTTCCAGCTGAAGATGTGGCCCATCAAAAAATCTTGGATGATGAGGACTTCCACCAAGATGGAGGCATAGGTGGAAGCACTGCACCTTCTCACACAACCAAGTTTAAAAACAACAAAGCTTTAGCAACAAAAATGCAGCCAAACCACAGAAAATTGAACTACACGGAAGTCTGACAACAACGAACCCTTCAGCCAAACCAGTAAGAGGGGCAGAGCCAGCAGCAAAGCGGGGTCAGGCAGAAAAGATCCACCGGACTGACCCAGGTGTGTGACCCAGGTGCGCCAGCAGCCATGGGTGGATCCCAGGTGTGGAGAAGTGGGCGGACCCACTGAGGGCTGATCGCAGTCACACATTGGTGCCCAGATAAACCGGTGAAGGAGCTAGGAGTGGGACGGACCATGAAGGCCCCAGCGGTGGGAAGCGGCAGAGGAAACCACCATTGTCCCTCTCTGACCCCGCCCCCACATACAGCGTCACAAACCAGCAACCTGGGTAGCCCCGCCCTGGTGAACACCTAAGGCTCCGCTCTGCTCCTCATATGTAACAGGCACGAACAGATCAAAACATCGCTCAAGAATAACTCAGAACCCCAGAGCCAATAAATCTAAGTGATGTAGAAATAGCCAAACTTTCAGATGCACAGTTCAAAACACTGGTGATCAGGATGCTCACAGAACTGGTTGATTTTAGTCACAAATTAGAGGAACACATGGAAACTACACTAATTGAAATGAAGGGGAATGCACAGGAAACCAATAGTAATGAAAAGGAAACTGGGACTCAAATCAAGGGAGTGGACCAGAAGGAAGAAAAAAATGACCAAACAGAAAAGGATGAAGAAACAAGAATTCAAAAAAAAGAGGAAAGGCTTAGGAACCTCCAGGACACCTTTAAATGGTTCAACATCCGAATTATAGGGGTACCAGAAGGGGAAGAGGAACAGCCACCAGTGGAAAACTTATTTGAACAAATAATAAAGGAGAATTTCCCCAATCTGGCAAAGGAAGTAGACTTCCAGGAAATCCAGGAAGCTCAGAGAGTACCAAAGAAGTTGGACCCAAGAAGCAACACACCAAGGCACATCATAATTACATTAGCTAAGATTAAAATAAAGGAGAGAATTCTAGAAGCAGCAAGAGATAAGGGGACAGTCACCTACAAAGGAGTCCCCATCAGACTGTCAGCAGATTTCTCAAAAGAGACATTACAGGCAAGAAGGGGCTGGAAAGAAGTATTCCAAGTCATGAAAACCAAAGACCTACAACCAAGATTGCTC